ACTCAGTCTATGCTGATGTAAAGGCAAAGGGGATTTTTCCTTTCCCTCCCTGGAGGTTCGGTGTTTAAGCCTATGAAATAGAATGACACTAGATAGATTTACAGGTATATTGGAAGTGGTGCAAACTCCCAATCACCTGACCCAAAGTAAAGCACCAGGATAATAAAAGACAAGATCTTAATGCATACATGGGGAGCCCAGGACAGTCAAAGCTCTTATCTGGTTAGGACACCATCTCCTTGAGCTCGCCACTATTTATTGAACACGAGGCTTCCAGAAGGGATAAGGGGCAGTGGCAGGGAACAGTGAAGTGGAGAGTACTGTCGGGAGCAGGGTCCTAGCAACAAGGGAACAAGATATTAGAGAGGTCTCCTAGGAGGCCTCTTTCCCTTGTTCGCTTCACCAATGGGAGTCTCTGTAAGAGAGACGTATTTCTTTTCGGAAGGACAGTTTCTCAGAGTTGTACTTGTGTCTGCAGTGTCTCTGATGGCCATCTTGAAATATGCCAAAGGAGGATATTCTGGGGTGGCATATTTCAGTCCCCACACTAGTATCCTCTATACTGCTGCTCAAAAAAAAAAAAAAAAAAAAGCAACTGGATAGGGGTTTAGAACTGTAAAAGCATTTGCTAATTAATAGAGCCTTGTGAAGTACCTGGAAGTCACTCAACTTTGTAGTTCAAATATTCTCCCAGGAGATTTTATGCCATGTAACTGCTCTTCCTACTGACCAACAGCAGTGGAAGGCAAGTTTTAGCTACTCACCTTCTCCTGTCTTTATACCAGCTAAGTTTAGATGGAGTGTCAGGGTTAGCAAGCCACCTGGTGCACAACCAGTGTGGAAAGACAATTCTAGAGACCTATGAATACTTTTGTGCCTGTTTATTGTACTAATGTGTTACCGAGGTTTATTACTGACTTGTGGACAAGGTGTGTGTGCGGGGGAAAGGGGGAAGTTTGTTTCCCACGTAACACAGGGAATAGTGACTTGGAAGCTGGTATAAGAACTAGAACTTTCAAAAGTGAACGCTGAAGAGGCAGCAGCAAGGCTCAAGGTGGCTGCAGGAGGTTTTTTTTTTTTTTTTTTTTTTTTTTGGTATTGGGAATTGAACTCAGGGACTTGCACTGGCCAGGCAGGTGCAGCATCGGTGTCGATGCCCCGCCCCTGGAGTGGGTCCCTTTGGCAAGGCATTTGCAAGTGTTCCCTATTTCTCATCTCATCTGAGTCAGGACATTCCAAATAAGTTGTTTCTGAAATACAGCTTTCATTATGCTGTTGTCTTTGCCACCTCCCTGCTCCTAAGGAAAAATCTCCATTCTTCCTTCCTGGCCCAACTAAAATACATGCTTTGAAAATTTCTCATTTTTCCACAGCATTAGCCTTTCCAACTCTGGTGATTCCAGGGTGTTACTATGTTGTAGTTGGTTTTGTCCCTCCCTAGGCGGAGCTCCCAGCCAATGTTTGCTGAAGGACTCAAAGTCATTTAGAATCACTAAAGCACCAAGAATGTTTGGGAGTGCAGGAATGCAAATTCCTACACACAGAGAATTAGTTTTAAGACAGTGGGATTCATTCTTTACTTAAGAGAGGTTGGTACAGTAGGTCAGGTTTGTGAGTTTTTTCTGTAAAGGGACAGATAGCAAAATTTTAGGCTTTGAGGGTATCACAACTGTTCAACTTTGCTGCTGTAGGTTAAAAGACGCCAGACAACAGGTAAATGAAAGCAGCTGTGTTCCAACAAATTTTATTTGTAGACACTGTAACTTACATTTCATTTCATGTGTCAATACTTTTTCAATTAGACATAGAAACCACTCTTAGCTAGCTGGGCCATTATTTTTTGGCCTTTGGTATTTGTTGCCAACTCTGAAGCTATGGTTAACCCCCAGGCCCTTCAGCACAAGACTCATATATGAGCATTATTGTGTACTGCAAGCCCCACATGAAAACTACTCAAAGTGGAGAGCAGCCTAGAAACTATGGGGGACAGAAATGATACAGCCAGCAGTTTGTGCTGCCACCTAGTGATGGGCCAGCTGAACTTCAGTCTTTTCTCAGCTCTTCCTTCCCTCAACCTGAACATACTGTGACAGCTGCAGTCAGTACTCCTCACCACACCAAAGGACTTCAAATCCATTAAACCAACAGAAGCATAAAGAAAATGAATTATAACTCTTGACAAATCATTTAAAATGAAAAAAAATCAATCTTCAAGTCTCACAATGTTGGAACTAAAAGAAACCTAGATCATGTAGTGTAACTTCTCTTGTCCATTACTGACCATCTGTGTAGCTTTTTGATGAGAAAACAAAAGGTCCAAGGAGGGCCATTTATTCAAGATGGTAACAGTACAGGCTGATCCTGTCTGGGGATCACGTCTGATTCCATGGCAGGGCTGCCAGTCCCTCAGTGATAGGGATGTAACATGGTCACAGAAGTATGGACTGTGCTGTCACTTAAATGCTCTATGCTTGTGAACACTTAGTGCCCTAATAGCCCTAAACTGTACAGGGGGGTGTAGAACCAACCTCACAGGGAGGGACACTCAGCTGAAATGAGCTAAGAGCCTGGCCTACCATGGGCATTCAGGTGTTCCCTACCATGACAAACTTTCTAAGAGACTACGTATGTGTCAGACACTGAGTGCTTTGTGTATATTAACTGACTAAATCCTTGTAACTACTCTACAAAGTGTTATCACCACTCTGTGACTCAGTTCCTAAAAGCTCAAATTCAGTGAGGGAAGTGCTAGGAACAAGAATGACCAGTGCTACCTCTTGCACAAGTTACTTCATGGTGTGCAAGATACAAATAAGTTCCTGCTTAACACATGATCTCACATGTTAGCAAGAATGAGCATTAAGTAACTACTAGGTCATCTGGTGGCATTCTCAGCATTTCACAGGACTTGAGGGTATGGTTGTGACTGTTAACTATTTTTGGCAGGAAGGTTACTCTGTCACCATCACTCTTTGAAGTGTTTGAGGGGCTGACGGTAGGAAGGTGCTTCAGACAATCTATGTGAATGTTGGAGCAGTTATTTGTCCCTTCTGCTTGTTTCTCTACTTCATTTCTCAGTTTCTGAGGTCTTTAATGGAATTTTCACTTCATGTTTAAAACACGCAAGGATAATAAATTTGTAGGACCATAAGAGTGTTCCAATAGAGGGTATTTGTGCATGTTTAAAAGCTTTGATACAGGCAAATATTCATGCTCTTTAAATTTAGCTAAGACAGATAAATGCTTAAAGCTTAGTTCTATTTTTGGCTTTTTTTGGGGGGGGGTGTAACATGGATTGAACTCAGGACCTTCCACTGCAAGACAGGCAACAGACCACTGAGCTGTAAGTACCCAGACCATTAGTTCTAGTATCCTAAGATTTCTTATTTCTGGAAACTTTCCCCATCATCTCATGTCTTCACATCCTTTAACACAGACTGAAGAGAAATCCCACTTGACCACAACATGGCACATGGCTCATGGCTGAACCTTCTCTTAGAAATCTAGAGGCCATGGGTTCCTGCAGCTTTAGTTTCAAAGTCACTGTCCTTGGTTCAATGTAGAAGCAGTTTGAGGGGCAGGAAGTAGCACAGAAAAGTGAGCATTAATCTCAGCTGAGGCCAACCTTCATCATTGGTGTGTAATTTCCCCAAGCCCCGAATTCCTAACCACAAAACAGGGAATAAAATCTCATCCCCTTCACAGTTGTGATGACTAAATGAACAGAGGAAAAGTGGGCAGGAAACTGAAAGGAGCATCAGTGCCTTTAAGATGTTTGTACACAAACTTGAATCTTAACGCTGAAAGAGGAGACTGCTCAAATTGATTGCATGGCCTGCTGCGTGCATTCTTTAAGATTTTGGGCACAGGCTAACAACTCCAAATGTTTTCTCTTTTACATTTAACTTTCTTTAAATTAGGTCAGTAGGAATTAACATCTGCGTGCTTGCACTGTCTTCATCTCCCACCAGGTGACACTGCTTTCCAATAAACAATTTCTTGTGATGAGAGGCTGGCTGGGACTCTGTTTAGATCAAATTGGAGCTGCAAGAGGAAAGAGAAAATCAATGAAGAACCACCCAAACCCCATCTCACCCCACCTCACACCCCCCAACTTCAAAAAGCAAATAGGATCTTGGGATTAAGAACTTTCTGGTGACCAAGGCTTGCAATCACTACAGATGGAGGAATGATGGCAGAAGAGAAGGCTCTTTGGTCTCCACATGTGACATGCTGCACTTTATGGAACAGGTAAGAGGCCCAACACTCTGCATTTCCAAGATTGATAAATGCTTGCATACACATAGCAAGTTCAGGCAAGGTGTACCTTTTGGTCTAACAGGGAGGGCTTATGTTTTTCAAAGGAGGACAGCGTTTAGGAATTATATAAATTTCTGAGGTATGGCAAAGAAAAGTTAATTTTGGGTGTGTTATAGACTGTGCCTTTACAGCTGCAGTTATAGACTATGATAACATAAAATATTGACATTAGATTGACGTTAGGAATCCAAACTGTACAAGCCAATGTATTAATGGAAGGTACAGGGTTGCCCAGCACGCCCACTCTCTGCTCAGGGTCATGTTGAAGGGTCCAGAGCACTACAGCTGAAACACACCCTCCATCCCCAGGTCATAACTGCCACTCAGTTCACAGACCCCTTTCTTCTCATCACAACTGGATTTGGCCGCTGAAGAGAGGGAAGACGAAGGGACGCAGTGACATTTCAAGTCGGGGCACTCTATTTCCTCACTTCATCCACCTCAAAAGTCATTTTTTGGAAAGTAACAGTCCTTTTTGGAGGTGAAGAGTTGGCATTTGCTTTATTCTTTTGGGATTAAATTACGGAAGGGTTATGGGGTTAAACCACTGTCACAGCTTGCCTCTGAGGTTCCACTGCCTCAACCTTACAATGCTTTTGTCATCAATGTGTAGAACTGGGAAAAGGTGTCTTCGAAGCTCAAAAGGATGATGATCTTAAGTACTAGATGCTTCCTGTTAAAAAAAGAGAAAGACATTTTACACTGCACTTTAATCTTTCTGGAACCTTCTCAGAAAAGTTTGGTTTTTAGTATTTATGCCAAAAAAATATTTAAATGTGGATTTGCTTTGAAATGGGGTTATTTTTTACTTTGGTATGAAGTAACTGGACGACATGACTTGGCCACGTATGCACAGCCTATGCCTACCTACAAAGGGTAAGCTTTCTGACTAAACAGAATCTTGGCAGGCAGGCATTTTATCAATGGATGGAAGGGAAGTAACTAATCCTAATACAGTGAACTGTTTGCTAAGTTCCTCACCACCCAAAGAACTATCACTTTCACTCCTGGGCTAACACATTCTTCCTGCTTCTCAAACCAGAATCACAATCCTTCTGTTTATCAAAATCCAACATTTGAGTCTTCTTGGTACTATTTTATTAGTCAAGTCTGTGCCATCTATTATTTCATTTAATCTTTATAGCCATGATTTAAAATAAACCATCTCATTCCACATCCAGGGAACATAAAGCACAGGGTTCCGTCTCTCCCCCATCCTTTCTGGAACTGGTTGCATTAAGTCCATGCTCACTCTCACTGCCAGAACTTTGGCGTATGTCATTGCCCAACCCTAAAACCAGTTTCTGGACCGCCTCCCTGCTTTTTTTTCTCAATCACTCAATGATTTCCTGAAAACCAAGTTATTTTTTCTTTTAAAAATTTGGTAACTTCCTATTTTTCATTCAATCAACTCCAAATTCCCCATTGTGACCCTATTTTATCTACTGTACCCATGAATCTCATAACTCTTTAAATGTTTCCTTAACTATTAATGTTCTTGGTCTATTTTCCCACCTTGCCAACCACACAACACCAATTCTGTCCCTGTTATATTCATTTTCTATTATACAACCCCTTCCCCAGCTGGTGACCATCAACCCTGCCCACACCATACACCTGGCCTCCCAAGATTCACCTCCCCCACTAGGCCTTTACATCTCGACTGCACATCCCTTGGCCTCTGCTTCTGGACAGCTCTACATCATCATCTTGGAAGGGTGTTATGAGATAAAGATTCAGGAGTCTCTAGTATGCTGTGTATAAGTGTAAGTCACTTGGAAAACATAGCAAGTCTTGTAAAACTGAGTCTTCGCACATCCTATAGCCCAGTGATTGATTATACTCCTACTAGAATATATACCCTAGCAAACATTTGCACACATGAACCAGGAAACTGGTACAAAAATGTTCCTAGCAGCCATGCTCATATTAGTAAAAAATGAAAACCCTCCAAATATAAGTTGACTGAATGGAAAACTATGTATCCTTCCCACACTGAGAGAACGTAAGTACTAAACAATAACCTGAGGAACATAACATCAGCATCCTAAAACCAGATGAACAGAGCCAGTTCTGAAAGACTAGGTTCAGAAGGATATCCTTTTTATAATGCTCAAGAAAAGCAAAACTAAGCTGTGTATTGGAGGAGGGGGGATAAGATGTGAAAAAAAAAATATGATCTAGAACAATTACTTCAGTGTAGTGAGGGGAGAAAGGAAGTGGGACAGGTGAGGACACTGGAGACATTTCACTTATTTTGATCTGAAAGTGGGTTGAAGATTCACACGTTATATATAGGTGCATACTTATTGGCTAAAACGGAAAGCATCTATAATCTATTCAAGGGGGATTTGGTGAGCACATCTGTTAGATGGCTCCAGAAGATAATTCAGAGCCCATGGACCTGGCCTCTTGGAGGATCCATCACTGTGCTAAATGCTTTGGCAGGGTCACTGCTATAGGGTTTGGGCTGAGCAAAAACAGCTGGATTCCTGCCAGTGTCTTGAAAATTACTGGTGGTTCAAAAGACTTCTGATCTGATACTAGAGTAGAAGAGCGAGCCAATAATGTAAGATTCTCAGTACTGAACCAAGATATTTGTCCAGCTTTAAAAAAAATTGGGTAAGTAAATTGGATCCTTAACACTTTCAACAAGAGAGGGCCTACACCAGAAACCTAAGCTCTAAGTCAACAAGGACTTTGTCCTATTTCCACTGTAGTTTTGGCACACTGTGTATGCTCAACAGACAGAAATAAAGCCTTCCTTCTTGGTGGTCACAAACTACTGATATAGTAAGGCAATTTAGGGGAAAAACTGAAGACTACCCAGATGGTGACTGACTTTGGAATTCACTGCCCACACTAGAGAAACAGGGTGACACTTAATGATATCCTATCTTCCATTTTTACAAAATTTGCAATAAGGCACAATTCTTAAGCTGTTTTTTTTTTCATTTTTTTATTGCTGTTAATTCAAGGAAAAAAGGTTGCATAAAATCCAATCTGTTCTAGAAATATAAGTGGCCTTTCCAGTACATAACATTTCAAATATCAAAGTATATGGTAAACATACAAATAAGGAGAAGGTAACATACCTCCTATGTACAGTACAGTATTTTAAATCATAAAATAAGCTCCATAAAGTACAACTGGCAAGTGAGTCACAATGCGCTCATACGTGGCTTATCAACATTCTCACCTGAATAACTCAACTGCAGCTTAACAATTGATTTAATGTGGTCCAAAAATACCCAAATAAAATATATTTAATCAAAATAATTTCCTTTACTCAAAACTTTTTTTCTTTCTAAATTAAAGCTTTTATCTACCCCTTTAAACTTCTTCTTCCCCTTCCCCATTAACTCCCACCCTGAAAGTTTCAAAATGTACACTGGTGCTATAAATATAAATGCTACTTATGAAGCATTAAATTGCTTAATTTAATTTTTTCTTCAAGTTTTTTCTTTTGTCATGTAACCTGTTAGGCTTCTCAACCAAGACCAAATATTTAAGTTTCTCTGCAGCACACCAACATTATTACACACAACAAAAACCTATCATTTCTGCTCTGTATTGAGGAAGGGAAAACAGCCCCCCGAGCCCCTTAAACCTATGACTATACAGTGGTAGATGTTCATTGCTGTTCAATGCAGCAATCACCAAAAAATACACCCAATCTTCCAGATAACCTCAGTGCACTTTAGGAAATCAAAAATTACCTGGAAGAAATTTAGTACATAGATTGGCTTTTAAAAACTTTTTCTTTTAAACAGCAGCATTAAATTTAGTGACACGACACTGACATGATTAATACCATCTTACACTCAGAATTCAGTCTTTCACATTATAATCAAGCATAGTGGTAAACGGTTATAAAAGTGACTTTGCTACGAATGACAGGTTAGGAAACAAATACCTGACTTTTTGTAGAAACCCACAGCTTCTGTTCAATAACCACACACATTTTAAACACAACATAACACTGTAACAGTTGGTAGCAAAAGAAGAAATCTTTACACTCAAGTAGTGTTTTTGAGCAGGACAAAGCGGTAGACGACGAATAGAACTGTCGACTCTCATCACAAACACAAGCACACAGAGAATGACATTCACACCAGTGTGTTCACTTTGTGTCTCTCTGAAGCAACAGGCTAGAAAAGTATGATGGAAGGAAAAAATTGTGTTTTTGTTTTGTTTTTTCAAGAAAAAGCTTTTTGTCCATTTCATGTCACTTTTTTCAGCTTCATATGGTTTGACTTCTTCCTCTCTCTCCCACTTATTTTCATGTTTATTTGGACAAGAAACACTGCATATATGTACTTACGTGATGCTGTTTGTTACATAAATACATACTATCTTGGGGATCTGATTTCTCCCATGAGATTAAGATGAAACATTCTGCCCTTGGTTTATGTGCAGAGCAGTATACAGAAGTGCAGACAATTACACTGCTGGGCACTCTCACAGCAGGCCACAGATAGGGTGTGAGTGGCTGGAGAGAAAAGTGTATTACAGGGTCAAAGTGAAAAAGCTGGGGAAGAAGCGGTTTCTCATTTTCAAAACCATATGACTGTCACCAGTGTTGTTAAAAAAAAAGGTCAAATACACAGTTTTAAAGATTCAGTAAACATTGCACACAGCAAGTATTCAGTGTTTAAAAAAAAAAGCACACATCAACATTTTCCTTTTGATAAGTTTGTCTGGAAATTTAAATTACATGTATCATACATATAAGCCTGTTGTTGAACCAGGAGACTAGAGGCTCAAGAAGCATCGCATTCTTTCTTATTTTGGACATTGGTACAAGAGAAATAAAAACTCCCAACTGCATAGAAATCTAGGAAATGTATAGACAAAGAAACAAACAAAATACCTTTCCTTTCCTCCCCTCCACACCCCATGACTCCCCACACTTGAGTGTATTAAGTAGGCAAGCTTTACTCGTTTCAGTCTGCAGAATCCAACGTATCATTAGAAGGGGGGAGGGGAGGTGCGTATCTCAGTCTGTAAGTGCCTAAAATGGGAAAGACAGAACTGCTAAGTCACTGCTTACAATGACACGCATCACAAACCACTACAAGATATCAAATGGGCATGCTCTTCAGGAGGCACTTTCCTCAGCACTAACACCATTCTAAAATGGCAAATAAATTAAAACATAAAAAGTAATGTGATGTTTGTGCTCTAAGCTAGCAAACTTGACCTTACTTTAAGAATGCCAAGTCAGTATACTCCCAATTTAAGACTTTTTTTTTCTGAATAAGATTTGGCAAAAATGACAAAAGGCCAGATAGATACAAGTTAAAAAGAACAGTTTGAGGTTCACACTGAATTTGGTATCTTACTTATAGTTATGTAAGTATATTCTCTTCTTTCTGGTGTAATATTAAATTTGGTTCAAATTCCCTTACTCCAACCTGCTGTTTAGCTATTTTGTTCTTATAAAATGAAATAGAATCTTGAATTTTTTTCCTTACACATTTGTTGGGAAAGAAAAGGACAACATGGGCATACGTGTGAGGTCGGCTAACACTAAACAGTTACTAAAAACTGTATTTATGTCAAATGACTAATATACTTCCTAGCTTTTTAATATTTAAAAATTTTGCTTACTTTATGTAACAGAATTGTAGCTTTAATAAAAGTGCTCTAAGTAAGGCAGTTAAACATTATAGAAGTCAAATTCCCATCATATTCTTTGAAAAGTGCCTTTAGAGTTTATTTTTTAATTAGAAACTATACTCCTCTGACCTTTCTTGTGCTCTGTATGACTTGGGTTTACACTAGGCTTTTCTGTTTGCATTTTATGATTTGTAACTGAAAACACAACATCTGTAAATGAACACACAAACAGATCTTTCTGCTACAACAGAATCACATGATTAAGAAAGAAAGAAAGGATAAACAGGTGAACTCAAAAACAAGTCCTCTGGGAGTTACTGTGATTACCTTGTTGATTGGCCTCCATGGATGACTGCTTACAGTCCTGTGCATAATGTCCGCTTACACCACAATTGTAACATGAGACATTCCCATTCTTCTTGGGCCCTGAACCACTGGTGTTGGCAACTACATTAGGTGCTGGATATACAGGATAGAATCTCCCAAATCCTGCCATCTGTTGCATGCCATAGCTGGCTTGGCTCCCCATGACTGGATCATGCACCAGTCCATTTGCATATGGAGTCTGAGGCAGAAAAAAAGGAAGTTGGTTTCCATTGCTCTGATGTGCTTGGTTGAGGTAGCTGCCATTGCAAATGGATGGCAGAGTGAAGAACGACGGGACTCGGTACATTGGTCCAGGCATTGGACTGGGATAATAGTAACTATTTAGCTGAAGGTTTCCATTGCTCCCACAGCTGCACCTTCGCCCGCAAGAACCACAAGGACCTGAGCCCATCTGCTGTGGTGGCACTATTGTCCCATTAGCACTCGTATTCCCCACAGCACTGATATAAGATGTGCTGTCACTCTGTGCAGTACTGTGTGTCAAAGCAGGACTTGGGCTTGGGGCAGGACCTGGGGTATGGGTAGGAACTGCAGGAGGAACAGTGGACTGGGCCTGACTGATGCCTGCACTTGCTGGCTGTGCAGAAGTGGCTGCTGTGTTGAGCACACTGGAATTCTGGGTGGGTAACACACTGGCAGCAAGAGGAGAGCCTGGTAAGGTGTAGGAAGCTGGTGGCTGTGCAACTGAGAGGCCAGCTGCTGGAAGAACAACCTTCACATTGGTAGGCTGAGGGACTGTCCCTGTGTTTCCCTCAATTTGAGGCACCATTTGATTTAGTCCTACCACTTGGGATGCAGATTTTGTGATGGGATCCGTGGTAGCCACAGGAGATCCTGGAAAACTACCTGGGTTATGAACAGGAATAAAGGCAGTGTTTGGTGATCCAATGCTCAGACTTCCGGTTGGCTGTTGTGGGATATTAACTGTGCAACTCTCAGAAGATCCCTGTGGAGGTGGCAATTTTAACCTCTGAAATGTTAGGTGCAGGGCAGGAGTGCTACTGTGTGGAAGAAAAGTTGATGGGATAGGTAAAGGGGAAGCCAGTAATTCAAGGTGTTTTTCTGATTCTCCATTTGAAGCTGTTGGCCCTAGAATTCCAACAGGGGTTGAATTTGTGGACTCCCTTATCGCAGAAATAGCAACAGGACTGGGAACAAGCATCCCTATTGTTTTGCTATCTGCAGATTTGGGTGGCGGAACAACTATTTCAGACTTCTGGGCACCATTGTGCATGACACAGTGTAAAGTTGGCATAAAAGGAATATGTGGATACTTGGGTGAGTTCAAAGTATCTTCTAAAAGGTTTCCGTTCTCATTTCCTAGTGAAGTAATTTGAACAGGTGGCTTGACAGTTTGGTTGACAGGATTGTAACCTGTAAATCTGGTTGTTGATGGATTCCCAGAATCCTCAGAATTACTGTCTGTGTCTAAGAAAGAAAAAAAAACATATAGACAGGTATTAACCCAAGCATAGCTCCCATCTTGCTTGCTACAAATAAAATTTAAGTATATCTAAAATTACCTCAGAAGTTTGGAATATGTCCCTCTATCACATTTCCTAACTATCTAAGGTGTCCTTTTAAAAAAATTTGAGTGTTCTATGGATTATGATCATATGCGTGCTGTATCTTAGAAATATGGGGATATAAGCAAATTAATAGGATTATTTGGAGACTGAATGAGACTCAGTATAAAATAGAGACATTTATTTAATACCATCTTTGTTACTAAGAAGTATTAGATATTTAAAACTTGAATTTTAGGTAATTCAATGAATTCATATTCTGTACTCTAAAACCCTTCCACCTGTCTCAGTTAAATGATATTTTTTTAAAAGTGCTGAATCAAGATAATATTTAACTTAAATATCAAAAGTTAGGAAGTAGAAGTGTTTTTAAAGATAAGATAAACTTGCTATTACAAATTTCATGGTAAAAAAATGTAAACCTAGTATTAGCCATAAAATGAAAATTCTGTAACATAGAAATCAGGACAAATATGAAAGCACTGCTATTTCTCCGAAATCAAAGCAGCAAAATAGCAGGTATAATAATGAATTTTTACTATTGCAACACTCTTATGTTTACATGTGGAAATAACTTCAGCCGACTTCTCAATTTCTTTTTTTTGTATATAATGGGAGAAAAATATCTCACAATTTTAAGCATCATAAGATAATGCATTGATGTGTACACAGACTATTCAATTAAATGTAGTTTCTATTTTAAAATTCTGAAACAAAACATTAAAAACAAATTAAGACTAGTTTCCTGAAAAAAAGTTAAATGCAATGTACTTACTGATACAGGATGTCAACATTGCTATTAACTCAACTATTTTAATTTATATTAGTCAGAAGAGTTTTACTAAGTGAACGGTTCTAGCATAAACTTTCTCTAACAGATTAATGACTAGGGTAATTCTTACTGAACTTTACAGAACAGAGTATTCTCAAATCACTAACCTATTTGTAACGTATCTCTACCACCTTACCAGTGCAAAGTTAAAGGACAAATGTAAAAGTCTAAAAAGAGCTGGAACATTTTTTTGGATGGCCATTTAAATTTGTCTGAATTAACCTTTAAATCTTAAACCATAGCAAATAGCCCTATGATTTTAAATGGTCCCCAGTGGTTTTCTATGCAGTAGTGATTCATCTAGGTATTTAGACAGATAGGTCTTATCTTTTTTATTTTTGAACTGACTTTGGAAAACACAAGTCTCAAATAAAACACCATTACAATTAACAATAACAACAAAGCCACATATCTTTCAAAGCAACCTTTGTATGCATCCAAAATTCTAAAAACGACCACAGCTGTCAATCACACAATGTGTATTTTTCCTGATTTGAGAGAGCCCTAAGCGATTCTTTCATTTAAGGAAGTTTCATTTTAATTTGTCAGTAACTATCATTGTATCAGTGATGTCAAACATTTTAGAGCTTTCAATGACACAAACATCTCACTGCAGCCTATATGTCATACGCTCACTACCACTGGCCTACATGGAAAAGGGACAGGTCTTCCATAGAAGCCCACCAATTTATACTATCGGATGACAGCAAAGGAATGCCTAAATATCTGAAAACCAGGTAAAATTTGAAGGGTGAGCTAGAGTCACAGGATTATTTGTATATCCTGTAGAATCAAGCACGAATGTGCTATGAAACATACTGAAACTTCTTTATTCTGGGGAAGGCATTAAAAACTTTCTCTTATTTAAGCCTCACAAGTCATTATTTTCATTTTTGTCTTTCATGACGAATCTGCTGAGCAAGTGCAGTGTGGGTTCAGGTGGGTAGAATTGGTGGCAGAGTTACTGCAGACTACACTTGGTGTGACTACAAATAACCACAAAGCAAAGAGAAATTTCAACTGTTTACAAAGCAGCAACACTGCTGTACAGTACATACTGCTGCACAGGTCTGTGAGACACAGTCTCTAAAGGGGACATAGAAGTTGAGGTCCCAGGGAAATGCAAGTTGCCCATTAAGAAACAGTATGGTCTAAGCTGGGCGTGGTGGTGCACGCCTGTAATCCCAGAACTTAGGAGGCTGAGGCAGGGGGATCGCTGTGAGTTCAAAACCAGCCTGGGCTACATAGCAAGTTCCAGGTCAGTCTCAACTACATAGTGAGAACCTGTCTCAAAAACCAAAACAAACAAAACAAACAAACAAAAAAGAAATGGTATGGTCTAAAGAGTGCCACAGAGAAAAATCATTGGATATACACCCCCAGCATAAGTACTCTGTATAGCCAAGATGTTAGCAATCAGATTCTGCTAGCATGCGTAAAGAACATATGTCATTCAATATATGTCTTTGCAAGGTCTTACTTCCAGACCAGAATGGTGGAGTAAGGGATCTCCAATGATTCACCTCCACGACAGCAACAAATACCACAGCAACATCTGTCCAAGTCATTGTTTTCAGAACCATGGAATTAACTAATGGCTTGCAGCCATATGAGGAGTGTTTAATCAAGAAAAACAGCTAAATCTCATGACAGAACTTATGCCTTTCAACTAGCCCTACCCTAACTCTATCACATTTTCTGCAGCTCTGAAGTAGTCCTGAAGACTGATAGTCCCCTAACTACGGTAGCTATGAAAACTAACAGCATAGCAACCACTAGGCAAAATATAGGTTTAGCGTTACCCCCAGAGTCTCTTCACCAAAATACTCATTGTTTGATTTGTCTGGCAGATTCTGCTCATTCTGTGTTAATGATCTTTATCCACAGGACATCTGTCATAATTAGGGGGCTTTGGAAAGCTTTCATGTATTAGTGAGACTCTAGAAAGCTATGCTTCAGCCTAAACTTGTATGCATTCCCAGGAAAGACCCGAGATGCCCTAAGTTCTCACTGCTGGTGGACTCTGAGTCTCTGTGCAAGAAGGAACTGAAGATGTAACATATTCAGAAAACAAAGAGAAAAATGGAAGATGCAAATCTCCTCTAATCAGTAATTACCTTACGTGTAAATGAACTATATTCTCATTTCAAAGACAGACAGACAAGATGAATAAAATACCATGACAGAACAATACGTTATCTGCAAGAAACACAGTCAAAGACACAAACAGGTTTAAAGTAAAAAAGATAAAAAATTAAAATGCCACACAAGTAGTACCCCCCCAAAAGAGCTGCAGTAGCCATTACTATCACACAAAAAAGGCTTAAGACAAAAATTGTTACTAGAGACAAGGATGACAAAAGGGTCAATCAGGAAAATAATGAAAAGTACAAATCTCTATGCATCTAGCAATACCCACAACTTTAATCTTTATATATCATGATTCTGTCTCCCTATTTAATTTCACATGCTGTGAAATAAATTATAAGATCAATTATTGCTAGGAACTAACACAATGGTCTATAAGATATTCTCTGTAACAAATTTAAACTCAATAGTGGGGAGAGGAACATAAAATTCTTTTGCCTTTGATTTTAAATGATAACAATCATTTCCTTCCACCCCCACCTCTTCCTATATCCCCTCTGAAAGCAAACCTCTGTCTTTCTCTTCTTCACTTTCAAAACTCTCTCTTCCATCATGTCGTGGACTAGACGGAGAACTGTAACTCTCTGAAGATGTTTCTCCACACGTGTCATGTCCAGATCCAATGTCCAAATTCACATCTAAAAATAACAACTCTATTTAAAAAAGTCGTTTTAAGTAGTTAATTTCCAAATTGAACTGTCAAAAATTAGTTATAGCTACAAATATTTTTTTCATGTTTTCTACAAACACTTAAAAAAGCTTATCTTTGATCTAGGTGAAAATTCATGAGCAGTTTTAATAAAAAAAACTGATATATTCTTTAAACAAAGGCATAAAAGGAGTCAATCTTAGAACATCAGAATTAAGGTTCTTAGTAGACTCTATCCAGTACCACTACTTTAAAACATTCTAAGACTACATATTCTAACTTCTTAGAACTTGCTGAAAGATCCTTTCAAGAACAGAATGTTTTGCCAAAATGCCTATTCAGTTAAAATTACTAGGCCAGATTACTCAAAAGAATAAAATACTTCCCATCAAACTGACTGAACAGCCCCTTAAATTTTAGTCAAGCCCAAGCCTATACCAACGTGAGGTGGAGATAGGTAGAAAACTTGCCACAATTAATTAACTGTGTTTAATTGTCATGTTTGGCACTGGATTGTCATATACTGATCCAGACTTAAGAGAGCTGTTCTATTCATTTCTGTGAACTCAGTAGTTAGTATAGCCCCTGCCTTTCAGCAAGCATCCTCACTCATATAAGCACTCCCAGGGTTCTTAAAAACAACAGACAAGGGAATCATTTCTTTGGTAACCTGGCAGAATCACTGAAAGGTATTGACTATGAACACCTGGACAAAGAAAGACATGGTTTGTGTAATGAGCAATTTAGCTGACTAATCCATGTCTTTTGAAGGGGATAAGTTCTTAATGGTGTTATGACTGTTAAAGATGATCTTTCCTATTTTAGTCCAGCCACTCACGCTGGATGAATACTAAAGAAAAATAAGGACATTAAGAATGCAGATGTTGCTAATTCCTTTTGAGTAGTAAGTTAAATGCCAAATTGAAAGAGAAAATTGCACCAAAATTCATGGAGCCATCAGAAAAATGGCAGAGGAGTCACATAGGCACGTAATAATCCTGCAGAAAATGATCTGGAGTGTACTTATATATGTCTATAGGTTCTACACTACCAGTTATAACACAACTAAAGAAGGGATGTAAGTCAACACCAAAGACAGTTTGAAGTCAATCTAATGTGACACAATGGCTGTTATGGCTTCTATCTAGATGTTTCCTCAAAGCCTCATTTGCTCATAGGTGTAGCTTTTGGGAATGACTGGGTTGTGGGTTTGTGGCACTGGATTAGCCCACCAATTGGGTTAGTACAGTTCTGGGTGTGAGTGGCATCATTCAATAGGCTTGTAACCTGAATGGAATAGGGAAAGCAGAAGTAAGGCTGCCACCTCCTGCCTGCCACACCATGGACTGTTTCTTCTCCTCTGCCACACAGCCCTGCCCTGCCTTGGACTGAACAAGCTATGAACTGAAACCTCTACAAAGTGGGCTAAAATAAACCTTTCCTTTCTTTACTTGAGGTTGTCAAGTATTTTGTCCCAGCAACGAAAGTAACTAAGACAATGGTTGAAGAACTGATCATTAAATTGAACTCAAGAAAATAAAACCCATAAAAACCACAGGACATGGAAATCTCCTATATACATATTCTGTCTAGTATATAACAAAACAAACAACTTTTTCTCCAAATGGCTTAATTTATAAAACCATCTTCTTTATCTCATACTATCAAGTGAATGATAACCAAAGTGCCATATATGAAATGACAATTTTAAAAGAACAAAGTATCTGTCTTATATATACTAAAAGTAACTTTCTGCTTTTGATGATTCAGAAAGTTTCAGTTGTGCAGAATGTTGGAATTTTTATGATCTGAAAATAAGTGATGCTCTAGAGATTCAGAGAGTATGGGGAGTATGAAAGAATTATGCCAATGAATATGCCACATATGGTCCTTTTAAATAGAGACACATCATTTTAGTTTTTTATCAGGTACCAAATCATAAAAGGTCTTGTATATGATTAAGAGCGCACATATAGGAATGCATGCATGTGTGTGCGCGCACACACACACACACACACACACACACACACACCCTTACAATATAAGCCATTATTTAACAAAAATCTTGGTTATTAGTAATTATAAATAAAAAAGTTCAGTACAAAGTTAAGAACCTTTTAAATAAATCACAGGTGATAAAACCACATTTATCATCTGAATTATAAGAGGCAGCTGGAGATCTTTAGTTTATTCTAAATCTTATAAAAGAAACTGAGACCAACTACTCTACTTTGCCCCACACTCTTCAGCAGCAGAAGGGTAGGGTAGAGAAAACAGTGGGGTGATAAACTGAATAGTAAGAGTTCTCAGTAATTATGCACAGTAATACATAAACCACTTTCAAAGTCAAAGTTTTAAAAGAAAATAAAATGCAAATACAGGTGACTAGTAGTAAACTGTTTCTTGAAAATAAGACAATTTGAAGGAAGGCAGTGAGGTATCCTTATTTTGTTTTGTTTTTTTTCACTTTTGGAAATTTTTTTTTGGGGGGGGTACTGGGGATCCAACTCAGGACCTTGTGCTTGCAAGGCAGGCACAGTGCCACTGAGCTAAATCCCTGGCCCAGTACTTCTATAATTTTGATCTACATAATGTATTCCCATTCAAAATAGAAGTTACAATTTAATAATAAAAAAACTAAGTTTAAAGAAAATAATACAGATCTTCGTAAGTATGCACTTCTCAAAGATCTGAACTGTCTAATCAGAAGGGCCTAATACTTTCAGTTCTGACATAAAATCTACATTTTGTAACAGGAACTGATTAAACATCTCAAGTTAACTGAATACTTAAAGGAAATTCCTTCTTGCTACCTTAATATTTCAAAGGGAAATTAACAAAGTTTTTTTTAAAGCAAAACATTTACTGGTACATTTTAGATATACTTGATAACGTCATGGGGACTTTGTACCAGTACATTATATATTTTGCTGCTGCTTTTCCCCCATCCCCCCACCATGCACAGCTTTTTTTTTCATTTTTCCTTCAATTTTCTTGACCCTTCTTTCCCTCCCCCTCTCCCTCCCATGTTCCCATTCTCATTTTTCTTTCCATTTCCCAATATCTAGTGTACATTTTAGTCCTTATTTCCACTTTTGGTTTCTCATATCAGAGAAACAATGTGGTATTTAAACATGTGTTGGATTTTTTTCAGTTAAGAGTATGGTCTCAAGGTGTATCCATTTAGTGAGAAATGTCTCAGACTCATCTTTCAGAATGGTCCTCCACTGTATTAAAAAACCTCCATCTTCTTTATCCATTCATTGGTTGATGGATACTCTTGTTTCCAAGATTTAGCTATTACAAATTGTACCACAATAAAAATGGGTGTGCATATATTGATGTGGTATGATGCTTTTAATTCTTTCGGGAAGATTCCAAGAAGGGGAACAGCTGGATGAAATGGAACCCCGAGTTTTAGTTCTTTGAGGAATCTCCACACTGATTTATTTCCACAGGGGTTTCACCAATCTATACTACCACCAACAGTGGAGAGGGGTTCCTTTTTTCCCACACCCCCTCCAGCATTTCAAATAGTTTTTTTAAGTTGGAGTTGGAATACAGCTGAGCTATATTTGACATTAGACAAGCTGTCCAAAACATATTTTATCCATAGATTTTACTCATCAGTGACATATATTGAGGACAAATGGAAAAAGGTTTAGCTTATCCAGAAGTCCTAAGATTATTAGGTAAATGGTGATGACCCAATAAAGAACATATCCAGCCTGAATTTGGGGGTTCTGGGCAGGACCTACTAGAGTAACTCCAAAGGAGAGTATAAGTCCAGTTTATTAAGCCAGGTCTTTTGTGAGTTGGGTAGGGGGATTAGTGGGATGGGCTTGGATGTGTTGGCCCAAAGGGGGACATGAGATTGGGGGAATGAGAATGGCTGAATACATGGCCATAGAAATGGGGGCTATGCCCTGTCCTCCTATCATTTCCTGGGTGTTAAGGCTCACAGAAAAGAAACGAGTTTGGTATGTTGTTACAAAGTTTTTAATGATCTACAAAATGTACATTTTTTCCTAACTTTTTAACACAGAGAAAACAAACTCAATTACTGAACACCTAGATACTGTGCTCATTCCAAATAAAATGCTTTCATATGTCATTACATTTAACCTTATATACTGATGAGGTATGTAGGTACTATTTCCAGTTTATAAATGAGAAAACCACAACTTCAGAGAAGACACACATTTAAGAAAACAGGGACCCAAGATCCAAAGCCATGGCTTTCTCTAGTCGAAGTGCACATGCTTCTCTTTCAGAAATTGGAGGGTAAAAAGGCAAAAACAGCCACAAACTTCTTGGGTGAGCTGTAGCTGCCAAATGATGTGAGATAAGTGGCAGCGTCTCCTTGTGGCAGGTCACGTACACTTGACAGGAATGATCTGGTTAAGTATGTTCTTCAAAGACATATCTGACAGTAGGATGGAAAATGAGCAAGAAAACAAATAGGGAGCCTTGCCAGGAGTGACTTCTAATCATCCACCAACGGAGATCTACGCCTTCCTTATTTAGCTCTTGCCCCCACTTTAGTTACCATCACCAGAGTAAACTTCAGACTGTAGAGTATTACAACATACTCCTAGGGTTGCAACCTTATATAAACAATATAGGTTTTTCCCTCCAAGTCATTTAACCTCCAGTTTATAGCTGTTTCAAAAAGTTGGCCAGATGATTTTAGATTGAAAATGTAATCATTTTTCTTTCATCACTATTCAGTTTCTCTGTACAGATATCTAGTTAAAAAATGTTCCTCGTTTAATAAATACATCGTGGTTATTTATACTGCCTCACAACTGAATGCACTAATAATATAAAATTTAAATTAAAAAATTCTAGTTTTTAGGATCAGTCAGTAAATGTGTCAGGTAATACACATGCATAAAATATTCTTCTAGAAGTCTGTGAGTTTTCACTTTTTCTATCTTTACTATTAATAACAAAAATAAAACAGAAAAGTAATCAATGAACAAGCAGAAGGGGCACTGAAATTAAGTGAACCTTGAACTTAAACATGCTCACAAAACTCTGAGGGTCAGAATTTCCCTCAAAGCCTCATAGAGGACAGTTATTAAAACTCGAAAATGTCAACAATTTTCTAAAAGACTTCTATAAGAACATGTGCTGACTTCCCTGAAGGCAGCTTGCAAAGTTGTAGTGAAGACCCTCCATGACCTTTGGGACCTCTGCTCTGGTGTAGAGAGACTGGCTTAAAAGGAAAACAACCTAGGCAACTGCCACCAGCAGAGAAAAGGAAAATGGTTCAGCATAACTGAGAAAGGAAATGTCTACCCTGATGGCCAATTTATAGTCCCTAAACTCCATTCATTTCAGAATTGTCTAATTTGGAAACTGCTGTACACATCAATGCACATGAAAATAATAGAGGATTTGGCAATATATCTCACCACCTACTAACATAGTAAATATTCTGTTGAATATCTCTAGATGATGCATATTTGAAAAAAAACAAACTTTCTTACCTTTCACTGTACCACCATGGGTATGTTGAGGAGTGGAGAGTCTAATACCATTTATTCTACTATTCAGTCTGTTGTCAGTTTTCTTAATTTTCTCCCTAAACCAAATGCACACATTACCAACATGTACAAGAGTCCCTACAAAACACATTATTACTAAACACAATATTTCTAAAATTCCTCATAAGGTATTTTATAATTTAAAAAATTTTAGTAAGGAAAAAATCTACATGAGATACATTTCTGAAAATTCTGACACTCCAAACTCAATGAAGTATTTGATAATAGCTTTACTTGTATCATCTGCATACAATGATATTTTCAAGCCCAGAATAAAAATCACAAAAAGAATAGAAATTATATTTACCACACAAAAACTGTATGGGTTCATAATCCAATGCTACATGCTATATTTCCTTATAAATTTCTAATACTGAAAATACTAAATTGAACTTACTTTTCCATTTGTGGCTTTCCTTTCTTCTTATTTATTGAAGATAAGCTCCGTTTTTCAGCAGGATGCTAGTAGAAAGGAAAAGACAAATCAAAGAGACCAACGCTAAATCATACTGATGTAGGTATCCTTTTATTTTTATACCAAACATTAAAATATTTTCTAGGTGTAGTTTAACATATTTTGATTAACAACGTATTTTTGGAGTCACCAGAACCATCAAAATTTACATATTTGGTGACAATTACCTTAACACTGATATTTTAAAAATATCTAGCTTTTCATTTAAAATGAAATTACTAAGTAGTCCCCATTTATCTGCAGTTTCACTTCCATGATCAATATGGTCCAAAAATACTGATGGAAAATTCCAGAAATAAACATTTCCTAACTTTAAAATTGCTACTTTGAGTCCCATGATGAAATCTCATGCTCAACCATTCCATTCCACCAACTAGACAAGTTATCCTTTTGTTCAGTGTTTCTATGCCGTATTTGATACTAGCTCCATAGCAGAGGGTGGGGTGAGGCCACATTCATATAACATTTAATAGAATATTGTTATAATTGTTCTATTATTAGCATAGGTGTATGTGTATGTGTGTGTGTGTACGTATATGTATATATGTGTGTGTATATGTGTATATGTGTATATATATACACATACATACACATATGAAAAAAACATAGCTTAAATAGGGTTCAATACTATCTGTGGTTTCAGGCATCTGCTGAAGGTCCTGAAATATATCCCCCATAGATTAAAAAGCTGGGACTGCCATACAAAATAAAACATAATCAAGTAACTAATATTTGCTATACTTATTAGCATCCTCTTTAAGTTCAATTTGATAAAACTGACAATTTTTTTCAACTCTAAGGAGAACAACTGTGGGCATTGGAATGGGGAGGAAGAATACAATCAGATGGTATTTTAAAAGAGGCTATTAAGTAAGACTGAGACATTTTATATTTCTCAAAATGTACTTTACTTCTTAAAAATACATTCCCTGATGAGTTAACATTTGGATCTGAGTGTAACAGAAATAGAATTAGGTCAACAAATAAATTTTCTAGCTAGAACAAGGTTTACTTCACATTACAATGTGTATACTGCCCCCTTCCCCATCCTATCTGGATGTGGTGGCTTATTACGCTGAACATACTTGAGAGCAGTGTGCTCTCTGATCACATGCAATTCCTAAGAAAACAATATTTCCTAACTATATTCAGAAATGTCAAGTTTGAAAATTCACATTACCCATAGTAAGATAGTGACTGAAATGTGAATAATTCTTCAAGACCATGAAAAATTGTGCATTAACAATTTAATGTACTCTGGAGTTAGAATAAGCATTTTGAATGTCATATGGAGTGTATTAATTTCATATGAGCAATAAAAGTTTATAAATGCACTTTTTTGGGTCTCAGAAGAGCTTAGATCATATATACAAAGAGAAAGTCCAACAATGAAACAGTCATTCATTTTTAAAACAACAACAAAAAATATACAGAGATGCAATGCTTTAACGATACAGCATCAAAACAAAATCCCTCACACCTGGTCAGCCAAGGTCATACAGTGCTCTGCATGCTGAATGGCGGTGCAGTTTTGCTTCCTCCAATTCACAATTCCATTCTGTTCAGAATATTGCACGGTAAGCCCATCTAATGGAGAACAGCTCGTACCAATATTGCTATCAAGAGGAAAGTTTATGAAAGTGTGACAATCTGTCCTCAATATTTTAACCTGCTGTATCAAAGAGGGTTGTTTTTTTTTTTTTAATGCCTAGTGATAGGTCTAAAGTAACTGAGAAATAAACAAGTACACATCTAATTTATCATAAATAGGTGCCTCTAAAGAGTACAGAAATAAATGTGTACTCTGCCTTGAAAGACTGCAAAAGAGGTCACCCTGCAGCCAGCAGCTGGAAACAAGCAGGCTACACAACCCTGTATCTGTAGAGAACTGTTATACTCTGTATAAACAGGTACATGATGGCATAGGATAAAGTGACTGAAAACCCAAAGAAATAGCCTACAAGAACAGAAGCCCAGTGAGAATCCAAACTATGAAGTTACTGGATATGAACTTTCAGGTAATAGTCTAAACATGGTCAATCAATACAACATGACTGGAAATTTTGGAAGAGTACTGGGAAATATAAAAAAGAACCAAATTTAATCCTATAACTGTAAAACTAATATTAAGAAGCCAATGCATAAGAAATAGATTAAGAAAATTAGCATGGAGGAAATTTTGGTTAGAAGAAAATACACAAAAACACTAGAAGAGAAAATATGGAAACCAATCAAAGGTTTTGTTTTTTGTATGTGAGACGTAATGAACAGTCTTATATATTAAAAACTTATAACTCTTGGAAGATAGATCAAGAGAAGAGAGAAAAAGCATTATTTGAAGAGATAAAAGCTGAATTTTCCAAAATCAAAAGATACAAAACTACAAATTCAAGAAGCAGAATTCAAGGTGGGGGATTTAGCTCAGTGGCACTGAGCCTGCCTTGCAAGCACAAAGCATACCATCGGAGAATTGTACAAAACCAGACAATGAGAAAAACTTTAAAGCAATCAGAGGCAAAAACACATTACCTTCAAATCTTACAATAAGACTGACTAAAAATAGCAGCCAGATTGCCATTGCTTGAGTTCCTCTCAAAAGCAGGAATCTAGAACAGACAAGTCCAACCTGCAGGCCATGAGCGACAGGTAGCCATAGACAGCAAGTAATGTGGCTCCACCAGACCATAAACTTTTACTGTTATATAGATTTTACTGATATTTTTCATAATTCAGGAGTGAAATGCATAGGAGATAAGTGAACAATGTGTAAGGGAGGGTGCAGTGAAGCTCTAACTCTGCCACACAGTTAAATGGAAACCTAGATGCATCAAGTGTAACAGGCACTCCTGGGACTTGGTGAATAAAACACAGTGAATATCAATAATAGTATTTTAATCTATCCACATACATTTATGCACCTATGAAGGCAGGAGTTTACTGCTATTAAGCAGACATATAAATTTTCTTACTAATTATTAAAATAACTTAAGTCAAAATATTAACAAAAGGAAATTTTGTTACTTATATACATTAATTATATATTCTGTATGTGGCTCAAGACAATTCCTCTCTACTCAGTATGGCCTATGTAAGCCAAAAAGTTGGACATCCATGGTCTAAAATAACATAAATTTGAGAGGTGGTCACAGACAGTAGGAGCAAAGGAATAGAAACCAAAGAGGTTGCCCGAATAAGCCAAAGGGGCTTAAAGCTGCTAGTACCTCCTAGAATTATCTATTAAAAGGTAGAAAGTAGGCTATAGAATTTGCAAAGGCCAGTGGAAAAGTTTTGTGACATATGGGTGAGGGAAACAATACTAATGTGATATGAATCAAAAATCGTATGAATGGTTTTTTGTTAACTACAGAAGAAATCAGAGGTAGACTGAAAGGATACAACACAAGGGATCAAAGGTCAATGACCAAAGGACAATGAAAACTACTTTCAAAGAGCTAACAGTAAGTGCCAACCTAGGATCCCATATCCAGCAAAAATAGCTTTCAAACATGAAGGCAATTTTCAGATTAAAATTACATTCACATTCGGTGTTCTTCTATTAGAAGATAAATAATCATAAGTGGATGCTTAATGACATAGGAAGGAATGAAAAGCAAAGGAATGATAAAATATAAATGAATATTGAACAATGGTTTCATGAAGTTTAAAACTATGAAGAAGCATGATGGCTACAATTTATAACTCAGGAAAAGGTAAATGGGATTATAGCAATCTAAAATCCTAAACTTGGGAAATGCTAGAAGCACTAATTAGTACAGGCATTAATAAATCAAAGACCTACATTAAAATCTCTAGGGCAGCAATGGTGACGCTTTCAAAGCTTTCAATGATACAAACAGGCTGCTGTGGCATGAGTGCCACAGGTTTGCCACCACTGCTCTAGTGTAACAACCGGAATAGAAAAATAAGGTACTAACTATCATGGCTAACAGAAGAGAGAAACAGTCTAAAAGGCGGAAAGAAAGGAGACGAAAGGAAATTCAGCAAGTGGGGAAAACAGAAGAATTACAGCTAAATATATCAGTAACTTACATGTTACATTGACTTAAAAGCATACAAAGTTATTTACATTTCAAAAATTAGATACCTACTTCACAATGGGACTTTTCCCAGTATGTTTCTTGTGGATTATGGTATGCTGTAACATATCTAGAGTATAAGAAAAAAAGTAATTAGTTTACTACAATAAATAGCACAGCACATAGCTAGAGGGTTGATGCTTCAAATGACGTCAAAACACTGGCACTGCTGAGCACTTCCCAGCACAGAAAAATACATACCCTTAAAGAAGGAATTTTCAAAGACATAAAAAGCTACTGATTTACCTTAAATTAACCTCTCAAATGTGTTTCATCTAATAATAATCAATCTTGTCCAAGACTATGTGCACGCCACTGCAAATACAACATTCAATTTCAGGTGGAACTCTGTCTTTTAAATCACTGGAAAATGAAATGTTTCAAATACTTTAAAAATTCTATTAAAATAACAAATGCCCACATAATACCCAGATCAGAGACTTCTCTTTGGTAGCTCTTTTTCTTGTTGTTTTTTGAGACAGGGTCTCACTATGTAGTTCAGACTGCTCTGGAACTCACTGTGTAGGCCAGGCTGGTCTCAAACTTGCAGTGATCCTCCTGCCTCAGCCTCCCAAGTGCTGGGATTACAGGCATGAGACACCATACCTGGCTTGGTAGCTCTTTTTAAACAAATAAAATATTTAGATATGACTGAGGGTCTCCCACCATTTTATTCATGTTCCTCCCTCTACAGAGGTTAACTAGGACCTAACCTGTTGAAACAATCTAGTGAAAAGTCCTATTTTACTACTCATTTACGTGTATTCAAAAGCATATATAAACTTATAAATTCTTATAAATTCACTTATAAATTATAAATTCACTGACATTTGAACATAAAGGTAATTTTCTGGTATTTGCTCTTACAAACACTGCTACCATGAACAAGTTTCATCAATGCAGAATCACAGGACAGCAGCACAAAATTATCTCCAACTCTACTACCTTGTGCCAAATTTCTGTCCAAAACTGTCATACTCATTTATATATCCATCTGCTGATGGGGTTCAAGAGTTTCCTTTGCTTCACATGCTTGCTAAATGTCAGACTTGACAATGTTTTGCCAATCTGATGTGTGTGAAACATCTTACTGTATTCATTTGCATTTTCTCTATAACTAGTGAGGGTGCATGCTGTTTAATTACTGTTCAGTTGTCATCTTCTATGAAATTTCTCTATATATGTTTTGTCCGTATTTCTGTTAGGATGATATTAATTTTTAGAAGTCTCCCTTATAGTCAGCCTATAGTCTTTTATCTGTAAATATTCTGCTAATATCATCTGCTCTGTGAATTGTCTTCTAATTTCATGGCTTCTTTTGTCAGGATGCTGTTTTAGATTAGTGAGATACGGCCATGTTCTGCCTTGCCCAGGAAAGTCTTCTCTTCCCAGATTGACATTTAAGTTAAAATGTTATGTCTTATAATTAAGTAATTAATCACTTAAAACTTCTGTGCATGATGTAAGTAGGAATCTAATTATATATATTCATAAGGAAAGTCAATTGTGCCAATGTTATTCAGTGAACAGTCTGATCTTTGCAATACCACCTTTGTCATATCCCAATTCTCATTTCTGTCTCTAGGCTCCTTAATCTGCTCCACCCTTTGTCTTATTCTATTAAAACCACATTTACCTTCTTCTTGACTTGAAGCTTCTGAGCTGTCTTCTTTTAAATGTTCTAATATCTTAGAAGTTTTGAGAGAAGACTGTAAGTTATCTGTAGGAAATAATTCAACACCATTAATTTTTATAGGAGAATTATAATACCAAGATAAAGAAAATGTAATGATTATTCCTCACCAAGGAAGATGAGAATGAAGGGTTAGTAGTGAGAATATTTCTACTAGTTAGAACCTTTAAAAAAGCAAGACAACATAGAACATAGCACTGAACTATGAAGTAGGTGAAGGTCCAGCTAGTCCCTCAAGAACCATACAACCTGAATGAATCACAGCTCATCTATCAATCTTAATGTGTTCATATGCCACACAAGCTAAGTGGACAAGGGGTGCCTCTCACAGACTTATGGTGACTAAGGACATTTTTTTTTAAATCTCCAGTTCACTGTGCATTGTCACTTTTATAAAACGAAATAACTATACTGTGGTGATACTAAATTACTACAAGGCTTTCTCTATATACTCTGAATTTCTGTTCCAGTACAGAGCAGTGACAATTTATAGGCCAGTACTAGCCCACAGAAGACATTCTGATAGCAATGGATTCTAGAGTTCAACATCTTAAGTCATTTAGGAATTTAAAATTTCTTTTTTCAGAGTTGGCTGTAAGGATATGAAATATTGCCTTCTGTTCCAATAAAACAAAAAGGTAATCAATTTTTCAAAACAACAACTTGTGCAAATGAACCTTGACAACAAAATGTTCGTTGGTAAAACAACTCAGATTGTACTACAAGGCTTTCCACAACAATATTTTAATCTTACAACCTTAAAACAAAATCTGCCAATCTCTTTAGCATTGCTTTATGCAATATAAGCATTACCAAGCTCTCAAGATGAGCTTTTCCATATTTATAGATGCATTCCTATGTAGGTGTTTTCCTAGGCAGCCTGTTAATGTGAGCTGAAAGTTTAAACTTTGTTTTAATGCCTTTTTAGAATTAAACATATGCTACTGATAAATATTTATTAAAAAGTACTTATACCTGGTTCAGGGAGAAAGGACTGATTGTTAAAAAAATAATAATAAAATAATATATATTATGTTCTAGAATGACCACGCTATTATGACTATTCAGGAATAAATTTAACGATGGAACTGTATACCTTGCCTTAGTCAACCAGCCATTAAAAAAGTTCTTTTTTAAATCCTAATTGCTAATTATATTCAAAACATTTAAGGCACACTGCAAATCAGTGCCACGTATCCCCAACCTGTATGCCAGCAGGATCTGAAGGATCGAGCATGTCCCAGAGTTTCAGAGATTCTTAGAATTTGCTACTACATCAGTCTGTTTTGTTATATTACTGTTACACATTACTCTTTAAAAGCGCCACATAAAAATTCATTTAAAATGACAAGTATTTCTTAATTATTTAACTACAATTTCTAACTTTTAACTACAAGAACACAGGATAAAGCACAAAAAACAAGCAAAGATAAAAAACCCAAATTTCTGCAGAGGAACAAAGGATGCTTACTGAGACTGTGTAGAGAATCAGATGATATAGACCGAAAAAAGCTGTGTACTTTCTGACTCTGTAGGAAAGCTTGTGATGAAGTTGAAAATAGCTGCCTGCAGGTAAAAAGAAAAATTTGTTAATTTCTAGAATATACATCCACATAGTCAAGTGACTGTTTCATTCAGGCACAGGAAAAAAAATTGCTCCGAAGGAAGAGAGTATTATTTTCTAATCTATTTTCTTTTTGTTTTATCTTTGAGAATAATTTTTCCTTATATTTTATTACTCTGATTAAAAGAGTCCAAAGATTCCAACTGGAGATCTTTCCTACAATGGCACTTAAAAAGTGGATCTTGAGCATATAGTTAGACCTTGTGTCATGAAGCATTTACCAAGATCTGAACCCCATTCTATCCACTTATGAGTTAAATTACCCTCAACAAATTATTTAGCTTTTCAGTTTCAAATTCCTAAGAAATATTACCAGTCCTCAGGGTTCTAAGATTCAATATGTATAAATAGTCATACGGCCAACTGCCTAGGTGTTGAACATACAAATTCTCTGGCTTCTTCTGAGGGTATAACTGGCTATTATTTCTTCAGAAATACGTTAGAAATATTGCATATTAAAAATATATGGGGCCGGGGATTTAGCTCAGCGGTTCGGTGGCCTGCCTTGCAAGCGCAAGGACCCGAGTTCAATCCCCGGTACCCCAAAAAATAATAATAATAAAAAAAAAAAATATGACTTTTGGACAAACCAGTTTGTTTTGGTTTTTTCATTTTTTTTTTTTCAGACAGGGTCTTGTTCTATAGTTCAGGTTGGCTTGAACTCATTATGTAGCCCAGGCTGGCCTCGAATTCATTGCAATCCTCCTGTCTCAGTCTCCTGAGTCCTGGGACTACAGGTGTGCATCACCCTGCCAGGCTAGACAAGCAAGTTTAATTTTATAAATTTATCTTACAGGTAAATATATCTAAATGTGTTAAGAAACATACCCCTGATTCCTGGAGTATTTTATTTATGTAGTAGTTTAAACATATTTAGAAACAACTAAAATGGCCACAAAATATACTAATTTAATTACAGTTCAGCTAAAAATGGATTATGTAGCAAAAAAAGTTGGGGGGGGGGAGTGACTGCTTTACATTTACATGTGTGTTGTCCTGTCCCAAGACATTTAATGAAAAGAAGCAAAATAGTATCATTGCTGAGAACACAAAAGAGGGACATGCTTTAATTTTAATTGTACTTCTAGTTAAGAGTTGAATTTCTAAAAGTGGTTCCTTGTGAAAATTACTTTTTTCTTCTGAAAAATCTCAAGTTTACATAAGAGTTTACATATAGTACAAAGAATGCTTTTTCATAAATCATAAATAGCTGGCCTGCTGCCTCAACATCCAGGAAAACATCAGTGAGCACTTCCTAGGAAGTCATTTTCCTATAATCACTATCAGGAAATTAATTTTGCTCAATCTTTCTCTTTTAATCCTCTGGCTCCCAGTGAAGTTTTGCAAACTAACTCCAAAGTAGCCTTTTTCTTGTAAAGGCCCAGCTCAGAATCCTGTGTGGCTATCAGCTGCTACAGGTCTCTACTTCTCAGCCTTTCTGTGGCTCTTCTAGGTGTAAGAGAACAGGCCAGGCACTGTGTGGGATATTTTCCAGAAAGGTATGTCTGATTAGATTCAGGAAGAACTATCAAAATAGTGAGGTTGTGTTCTTTTGCAGCAGCAGATTGTGTAGTACACAACTTTGACTGATTCAGTTCACTTTACTTGATTAAAGTGGCACCTGTCAGGCTTCTCTACTCTAAAGTTGCTTTCTCCCTTTATATTTAAAAGAATAATTTTGTGGGAAAGTTGTGAGAAAAGTCTTTAAAAATGTCAATACCTTACTCATCACACATTCAATCAATTTAGTATTTATGTCAATGTGGACTCATAGTTTCTATTGTTACTTGTTGTGATGTTCTATTTGTCCCAGATCCAGTAACTCAACAGTACCTTCAAGCTGGTCCTGTGTCCTTGTGACAAAGCTGTATCATTCTTTTTTTTCTGGTACTGGAGATTGAACTCAGGACCTTGGACTTGCAAGACAGGCATGGTGCCACTGAGCTAAATCCCCAGCCCTCTCACCCTTTTTCTGGCATCAGGAATTAAACTCAGAGCCATGAACTTGCCAGGCTGGCACTGTACTGTTAAGCTGCATTCCTGGCCCGCCATATCATTCTTTAAGTACTTTGATGCTTTCAGGCACAACAGGCCCATCTTGTATATTTCCTGCCCAGGCCCCCAAATCAAATTATTGCTCAATTAGGCCCCAGTTCCATTTAGTGGAGAATGGTATACAGAAGTTGAGATCTGAGCACCAGTTACTAGAGTGTTGCTGTTTCTGGACCCTTTCAATGAACAGAGCTGGGGAATGAGTATGTGAACACACATATACACAACCACATTTTTCTAATCAGACACTCCATCCAGGGTTCATTCTGGTTTTCACTTTTTCCAATAAGAACTTTTCTCCAGAAAAAAAAGTAAGCTTATTCTCACTATTCTTAATATATTTAAACATTTACTCAAATCCATTTTCACCATCAGCACTACTCTCTTCCAACACTTACATGGACATCCCTCTGATCCCCACTTGAGCGCCAGTGCCCTGCAAGGCCATCCCTTCACACATCTGCCCTCCTCACCCTTATGCTCTTGACACTTGTGCCAGGTCTCTCTCATCATAGCCCGGAAGTCAATGGCTTTCCCATGCCTCTTATGTGCCTTCTCCAGCTCACAGGGCACATCCTCCCTTCCTGATACTGGTGCATAACTTGCTCTGTCCTCGGCAGGACTTAACTGTTCAGAAGGGACCAGAGGAAAGAGGAGAGGAGCCAGCAGTGATTTTTTTTTTTTTAAATGACAGTCACACAAAGATAGCAGTCACTGGTACTACTAAGACTTGAACCAGGCAGTCAACATATCTCCTAGATTATGTATATATGTGTCAAGTTTTAAAATAATTATTTAAGTTGAAGAATAAGTATCTGGGAATGTGCAAGAGTATTTTAGAATCAGAACCAGAAAAAAACACACATTTATTTAATACTTGATAAACTATAAAGCTCTAATAATTGAAATGTGATACTGAAACAAAAATGACAGACTGATGGAACAAGAAACCCAGAAACATATTAACTTAGGAATGTAGGATGAAGTATCACACAGGAAATCAACAATACAGAAAAGAATTCATTGTGTGAAAAAGTTATTTAAATCCTAATTTCATTTGGAGTAATGAAGTAAATTTCATGATTAAAGGAAATGAAAAACTGTGGGCAAAAAACCAAACAAGAAAAAGAATTCTAGTGGTTTATTAAAGAGATCAAGGGGATGTAGCCACACTGTCAGCCAGGGATAGAACTACAGATATTAACATATTCCCACTTGCTTGAGCCACTGGTACATGCATGACTGTTCTACTGGGCAGCTTATAGTACCCATGGAATTGTCCCATGTCACCAGATGGGTCAGTGAGCCATGTACCACCGATGGTTCAGACACCTGGCAGTAAGACATATGGATTACATATGGATGTGTTAAACTGAGCGTACGTCCCATGCTTTAGGCATATCTCTCTTCATCTTCTCTTTTATTACCTCTTAAAACTAAGGACAACCTAACAGCTATGTTCAGAAATATGGTTAATAACTTGATTCTTTTCATCATAAGTTATTTCCTTTAATCTTTCTGTGTAAAGACTAAGCCCTTAGTCACTACAAGTATAAAATACACACATACCTGAAATCTGAACACAGAAATTCTGCAAGTACACAGAATCCCACTATCATTGTGCTAACCAGTTAATATCTAATAGTTTGGTACTACCAAGTTAAAATGGCAATTAAATTTTGACATCAGTTCTGGAGAGAGGATCTACTATGGAAAGCTATCTGTAAATATAAAACTTAAATACAGACAACCTTTGAATAGTTACACTTCTAATCATTTATCTCACAGTCCAATTCCCATTTATATGCAAAGATAAATGTTTAAGAATTTTTACTATAGTAATTTGATTAGACAAACATCTAAACGTTGATATAAGTTGGTTACAGTAAGATAGTTAAAAAGCCAGTCATGAGGGAAAATAAAAGGGTTTATGTTATACCATAAAATAATAAAGAGCTTGTCTGCCTTTATGAAATAATAAGAGTCTAGAGAGTAGTAATGAGACTGTCGTCACACTTTATAATGTCTGAAGTTGGGCTAAGTGTATCCTTTGCTTATTAAAAAAAAAAAAAAACTTCTTTGATATCCCAAAATTTTCAAGGATATTAATAATTATTTATGTGAGCCTGGCTGAATTTAAGCTTGATAACCAGTATGGCCAGGAATAGCACATAGCAACCTGTCGGTCCACAAGAGTCACATTCTGTTCCTTCCCATACACCAGAGGCTGCATGCAGTCTAACTCCTTTCATGAACCCAGATATGCTAGCAGGTTCATGCTTCCAAGTACCCTTTCCTCATAGCACACTGTGGGACTCTCTCAAAGTACTTCTGGATCCAAACGTCCAGCTGCTGAAGCTGTGCTACTCAATGAGTGCTCTGGACCACCAACATGCCCTGGAGTTTTTTGGAATTGCAGAATCTCAAGCCCACTCTAGTTCTGCAGAATAAAGATGCACATTTTAACATGATCCCTAGGAGATACATATGTTCATAAAAGTCTGAACAGCACAAGGGCTCAGAAATTCAATTATTTTGTACTTTCACCCACCTGCTCTTCTAGTTTCATCCATGGAATGTTCTCTGCTTTCCTCTCATTCCTCCTCTAAACTTTTCCACTGTGCTTCCTAAGGTTTCTCAAACATTCAAACTTTTAAAGGGACTAGAGCCTGTACCTTCTTCTACTAAAACCTGGATTCCAGCATTCCTTAGAGCCATTCATGTGGAAGGTGTTCACCTCCTCACACCCCTGTTAACACGCATGTGTTTTTACTCCCTTGAACCTGTCATGCAGTCACTCTCTTCTCAATTTCCCTCATGTGTGTCATACAACAACCTTTAGGTCAATCTTCCATGTCCATATTCAGTTCTGGAACCAGCTTTATTTTTTCCTGTCCAGCTTACTAGTTTTCCTTCATGAGGATGCCCTCTAGATCCCCACACAGTTTTAAGTCCCTTCTTCTCTCAAGCATTTGATCCCCTGGCCTCAATTTAACCCATCTTATGTAAAACTCTTACAGAAAATATAAGCCACTAGACAAACATCCCTCAAATCCCCATCATGAAAAAGTAAATTTACCTATACCACACCCACCCTGCCTCTGAAGGGGTTATACTGTACCACTGATACCCCCTGGTGCATACATTCAATCTCTTCCTGTCTCAGTAGGCACATGGGCAACTTTGGTAATGAACTCAAGACAGGATTTATGTGTCCCTAGTACCATATTTAACTCTCATGTTACTCACACCTCCAACAACTCACAAGGGCAAAGACTCATCTTTATCTGGCACTGGGCTCTAGAGAAGAGAACGGCAGTGAATAAGGGCCACTTCCCTTCACTTCCCATCCATCAGCCTGGTCATCTCACTTAACAACTTAAGACATCTCCCAAGTTGAGCTCTTGGGCAAGAGCTTCTCAGTAAATTTTTAAGGAGAATATAAGAGGTTTTTCTCAATATTTTCATCTTTTAGAAATAACTAAATTTTATATTAGAGAACTGAAAGACAGTAATACAGTGAGTTTGACATTTTCACTGTGAGCCTGGAACTAAATAGCACAGGATAAAAAGTTCACTTTTAAAGCATTCACAGGAAAGAATCTCTGTGCTCCCTTTAAAGCTTATCCTATGCATCCACAGCCATCTGTCAGGGAGAACTATTACCTTAGGATGGGCTCCAGGTCAGAGTGACGCCGCTCCTCCCTTTTCAGGGAACCCTGATTCAGGGCTCTTAAGATGGTCTGGTCAAAAGTCTCTGAAGACAATTCCTTTGGAAGCTAGAAAAGAAAAACAGTATCTATGTTAAGTTTCTCACTTACTGACAAGTGGAACAAATGTTACAGATGCACAAAATGAAGACGAATGCCTTCTGCTCATAAATCATTTGAAAGCAGCTTCTCTTCCAAACCTTTATCACATGAGACCCCACAGACTCCTCTAGGAAACACATTTCCCTTTGGGGATACCTCAGGGCTTGCCATGACGCACAGGAACCCTGTAACCCTTCATATACTGCACTTCTGGCATACATCTGCATGGACCGCACACTTACAGTCATACTGCAATGACACCTACATTGGGTTCAAGTTAAATTGAACATTTTGCGTAGCACAGCTGGTATTATTTGTATCTTGGAACAGTACTCTTTAAAGTGTTATCTCCACCTTTATAGTTTCAGTTTTGTATCTTTCGAGTAAGAGAAAGGACTGCCTGGAAGCCAGGCCACAAGGTAGGGGTGGGCTGTGTGCTCTCTCACTGATCCTACAGTGAGATGACAAGGAGGTGGCTATTCCAGCATTAGAACTGTGTCACAGAAAGCCAACAGAAGAAAGAAGGGAAACAAGAGTTTGTTGTTTCCTGACCCAAATGATGGCTGCTCATGATTACTTCCCCTTAAACTTTAATAAATTTATGCTATCAAGAGACAAGAGAGGTAGAAATAGGTAAAGAGATTTTCAAAAGTATACTTGGAGGTGGGATGGTACAGCCCTGCATGCTTAATTTCCTCAATCAGAATGCTAGTCAGGAGCTTATTCCCTCCGATGGGGTGTGCTGTCTCAATGATGGCTCCTGGTAGGAATGGAGCTACTCTTTTTCCCTGTCAATATTCTATTACTACGAATGAGTCCAGCAGATAGAAGCAAGTACTCACGAGCCAACTCCTCCCACCATCTTCTCCCGTATCAAACTGTCTGGGCTGGTGGGTCATAGAAGACACAAGGCCTTTTGAAACAAGAACAAAACTCACCCCCATCTTTACATAAGGCAGGTCATTAACTTAAGTAAGTGAAGAAGTCCTTGACCTTTAACTGAGACAGCTTGGCTTAAAATAAGCCACAGGAAAATGGAACTATTCAAGTCATCTCTGGGTGTTATTTCATTTAGAGAGATCACCAAAAAAACCCAGGTAACCTAATACTTGGGATAGTATTTCAAACTATATTTTCCTCAGAGAAGCAGTCTGTAGTATGTCCCTGAAAGCCATAAATAAAAAGAGTCTCTTGCATATTTAATAGGAGACACATGAACTAAAAAGAACATATGTAACTTTAAAAAAATCAGACCCCTCAAATTTAAAGACCCAATTCAAAATGGGCATTTGAAATGAATAGACATCTCTCAGATGAAGTAGAAGTAGAAAATAAACATATGAAAAAATATTCAACATTACTGGTCATTCAAGAGATGCAGATGAAAATAATGCTGAGCGTCTACCTCACTCCAGAACGAATGGCTGCTATCAAAAAATCAACTAAGAACAAATGCTGGTGGGGCTGTGGGGAAAAAGGAACACTCCTCCACTGTTGGAGGGAGTGTAGACTGGTGCAGCTGTGGAAATCAGGGAAGAGATGCCTCAAAACTAGGATTACAGCTCCCATTTGACCTTGCTATTTCCCTGCTGGGTATGTTGCTGAAAGAACTAAAAGCCTCATACCACAGTGATACATGTATACCCATGTTTATCATGGCAGAGTTTGTAATAGCTAAATCTTGGAAACAGCCCAAAAGCGCATCCACTGGAGAATTGATAAAGAAGATGTGGTGTTTTTTTAATACACACACACACACACACACACACGTATAAAATGGAGTACTACTCAGCCATAAAGATAAACTTGAGACATTTATAGCTAAATGGATGCACCTTGAGGCATGCATTTATTCATAAGTGAAATAAATAGGACACATATGTGTAAATACCAAATTGTTTCTCTGGTGTGAGAAACTGAAGGTGTAAATGAGGACCAAAATGTGTAACAGATACTCTGAAATAGGAAGAAAATGTTGAAAGGGGAAGGGGAACTAGGGAGGTAGGGAAAGGAAAGATGGGAAGAAAAAAAATTGAAGGTAAGGAAACAATGGAAACAAAGCTTATGTGTATAGGTAGGGTTGGAGGGGTTGAAGGGGAATGGGAGAAAAATAAGAATCAAGATATATCATGTACAGATACAAATTCTCAATGATGAATGTGATCATAAAGTATACCTAAATGTACCAATAAACCAAATAAAAAATTTTAAAGTGATGGGTGGACAACTTAAAAACCAGCACTAGGGCCGGGGATTTAGCTCAGTGGTTCCGCTGCTTGCCTTGCAAGCGCAAGGACCCGAGTTCAATGCCTCGGTACCAAAGGAAAAAAAAAACAACAACAACAAAAAACAGCACTAGCCTGAAAATTTCAGATGCTATAGGTTCACTAACTATACTTTTTCTTTTTTCTAAACTTTCTGCTTTATCTCCCTATCAATAATTAAGCTGGATAAAGTAGTGCCAGCCTGAAATCCCAGCACTCTGGGAGGAGGACACACGAGGACTGCAAATCTGAACACTGCCTGGGCAATTGAGCAACTCTGTGAAAATCCTAGGTTCAATCCCCAGTACCACCACCACCACCACCTAAAAAAAAAGCTGAGAAACAGTAATTTATTAATCATTTATCTCTACTTGTACTTTTTAACACAGTCTAATGAAAGAAACAGGTGAGGGTTTGAATAAATAATCTTAAGATACCTTTCCCCTCTGTATGTATGTTTCTATTATCTTCTTAGTCCCAGCAGTTTGAAGATTTTGTCATATAGAAAGGAGTATAGCTGGGGGAGCTAGAACTCAAAGAAGGAAGAAGATGGAGCAAGATTTAAGGGAAGCTCAGAGAGTGCTGAATAGTTATTGGGTAGCGTATGAAAACAGGTGCCATCTCATTTTGCAGACACTCTCTCGCAGGGGAAGTGCCCTTGCAAACAACAACCAACAATGTACCCCTTGTAAGGAATTACGCATAAGGTTCCATTTTTTAAAAATGTGAAAAACACTTCATGATTTCCTTATATTGATAATGTAAAGCAAGAAGACTTATATTGAGGTAACATGACATTTTTACAGTTCATATTCATTCAGAGTCTGGAGCCAACCTTTATCTATGTGTTTTACTTCTCTTTTAACACTGAGGTTTTTGGACTCTGTATATAATGTAAAAATCATTTTAATAAAAAAGCTATAATTTTACCTTCAGTAGAAACTCCTGTAGTTCTTGGTGGGTTTTTGTTACTGTTGTGACTGAAAGATCAGACCAATTTACCTGATTTAAAAAAAACACACATATTGTAATGGTTATTGCTTATACATCAACTGCCTAGAAAAAAAGCCACATGTAAAAGAAAGGGCCTTACTGAAATTTCATTGAAACAGAAATATAAAGTTCATATAGAACTGTCATTTCTTCAAAGTTGTTAAATTGTACAGTGACATATGCTTTGCAAAAGTTTTCTAATAATAATTCCTTTCAAATTGCACTTTTAAAAATAAAGTTTTAAAATGTGACTGTTTTGGTAATTTTTCTAAATGGAAATGTTTCTCTGGCTTTTTGGGTAACATTATAGGACTAAAATGATACTCTGATAATATAATCTATGCATGCCAAAGATAAAATTATAGTTCTATTTCCTGAAACTTAATAAATATACATTAAGAGAAATAACTAGACCATACCACCCTTCTCTGGGAGCATAAGTTCTTATTTTAGGGAGACTTAATCAATTTCATCTTCATCTCAGATCTTTAAAATCCTAGTAAGATGTTTGGGGCAGGTATAATTACCTTCATTTTCAGAAGGAGAAACTAAACCTCAAAAAGGTGAAATTTATCAAGGTATGACATAAGGAAGAACAAGAGTCAGAACTTGAACTTACTTAGTGCTGCTCAACCTTCTTGATACTTTTAATTTTGTGGATTCAGTTGTGTTGTAGTACTCCTAATTTCTGCTTCACAAATCTGAGCTAAATAAATATTTGAGTGCTGCTAATATCTAGGCCTTATCAATTAATTGTATCATAGTTAATAACATACTTTAAAAAACCTAAGAAATTTTACTTAGTAACCCTTGAAACAATCTTTGTGACTGACAAACATTTCTTAAATGTTTTTAAATATTCAATTGTTTGTTGAGCAGCCACCTGTGGCAGGCACTGTTCTGACTCTTAGAGGATATAGGAACAGACAAAATACTCAAAGTCTCTGCTGGCTGAGTTCACAACCAGGATGGAGACAGATAAAAACCAAATGAATATATAAGAATTACCATCAGTGTTTTAGTGCTTCAAAGATTAATAGGTCCGAAAGAACAGCCAAGTGTCAAGAAGGCCCAGTGAGCAGGGGTTATTTGTGGTGATTGTTAGCTATGCCTTGGAATAGGGTGAGAGGACAGTAAAGCCTTAACAAAGGAATAAGCTGTGAGCTCCAGCAACAAGGGAAGAACCAGTATGCCTGAGCATTGCACACTAAGAGCAAGACACATGCCACAAATGAGACACGTAGAGATTAGGACTGAAAAACTTGAAAATAGAGAATATTCTTCCCTCAAAGTAGAAGCTAGGGATTTGAAATTCATTCAACAAATGTACTGAATAAGTCCAACAGGTTGGGATGGCAAAGGATGAAGACTCCTGCTCTCTACAGGGTATTAATCTACTGGAAAGATCTGTGAAAGTATGACATCTGTAGAAGACCTCAGATGAAGGAGGAAAATTCTACTGGAGGCTTAAAAGTGACTCCAGGAGAAGGTACAGCTAAAGCTTGGCAAGCACAACCTTTGAGGAACTGAAGCAAAGCAGCATAGAAACCTGGCCTCATTCTCGTGGCCTCAGCTGTAATCAACCTTAGGAGAAAGGGCACTACAGTGAAGGCCCAACAGGGAAGAATCAAGAAGGTATGGATAAGGAACCCATGCCATAGTGAACAGACACAAAGGAGTCCTGGAAAATCTCATACTGGCTGTAACAGAAACAGAGCTGGGCTCCATGGTTAATGAGACAACTGACTAAAGCAGAGGTAACAGAGAAATAATACAGGCAAGAATCAAGGCAACAAAGCAGGAAAGAAAAACATCAGAGAAGGAGAGGAAGAGAAAAATGTCAGGGGAAAAAGTGTCAAGAAAGATGGACTTGTGATCTTTATTTAAAAAATAATGATGAAAATGTTTGCTGTTACTTTTAATTATCTCCTTAAATCTCAGGCTTTCATTTCTTTATAATAAAATTGTCAGAGTAATTTTATTGTGATACAGGTTTTTTTAAAAACTTGGCAAACCATGCAGTGTAAACACAAGAAAATGGTACATTCCATTAATTAAAAACTATATATATAAACATTTTTCCTTTAAATTAGCAGAACTGCCTGCCATTAATTCTTCCAAAGATCACATAACAGAGTATGTGAGATTATCTTTTGTGGGTGAGAATAGCTTACTTTGAAAGTGTACTCCCAATATTTGTCAGCCCTTTTTTTCTGGACTCCTTTCAATATTATCTTCTCAATGTGCACAGCTGAAAGAAAAAAAACACATACACACACACATACTGACTTATGGTTCAGACACTAGATACACAATTCAGTTACCCAAAATGACATATAATTTGACAAATGATTAGTAATTAAGCTATTTATCTTTATAGCTGGCCTTAAATTATTAAAACAGAAGCATAGCAGGCTGGGATTTAACTCGGTGGTTCTGCCACTTACTTTGAAAGCACAAGTTCAATCCCTGGTACCAAAAACAAAACACAAAAACAAAAAAACAGAAGCATAGCAACGTGCCATGCATCCATACAGTAATTTTTTTCTGTATGCATTTGACATGCTGAGTGCCAAAGCAGAATCAAATACTCTGCTAACACTAAGAAAAGGGCAAATAAAATATATTTTTCTCCAAGATAATCTTAAAAATTGTTACTCAAATGATCAAATATAGCACTTTTAAGATCAATAAATGAGGTTCATTTGTTTATACACAATAGATGTGAACTAGAACATGTTTTATTTTAAAAACAAATTAAAAGTCATATAACAGGCTGACAAAAATTTTAATTGGAAATTAAATTTTTTGCAAATGTGACCTTTAATATCATACAATGGTAAAATAATACAAACTGAAGATTATAATGACGATGGTTCACTGTAGCAAAATTCTTCACAGTTACAAAAATAAAACAGTGGACATAAATAACATTAAACTTAACAAGTTAACCTAAATTCAACTCATCAGTTTATTCATGAAGTTAACAAATGTACAAGCTCAACTACTCACTTTAGACCCTCTTTGGTAAAACGTATCACCTTAGGAAATAAAATGAAAAAAAAAAAAAGTAAATTTGAAAAGAGCAAATCTACTGAATATAATACAAAGACAAGAAAACTGCTGCTCAGGCTATCTATCAACAGAAGAAGTAATTCTTCTTTATAGTGAAGGAGCATCAAAGGCGGACAATGAGGAAAGTAAAGCAACACAAGGTAGGTTCTTTTTGGATTCAGGGGAGTAAGAGATGATGAAAAGAAAGAGGAGGATTCGATTTTGCTTTAGAGAAAGAGGTCAGAAGATATGAAGAACAATATATGAACAAAGTGACAAAATATAGAGAAAATGAAGATTGTTGTAGGCCATGAAAGGTGGGTAATGAAAAGGCATGTAACATAAAATACAGAAATATGAAACAGGCATTCCTAATTTTAAAAAAAGAGAGATCATTACTACTACTTTGTGACAATTTTCAAAATACATAGTTTGGTGGCCTGTTTCTGGGGCTAGTCTTCCCTTTGTGAGTTAGAAATATTGAGGATGGAGAGAGAAAAAAATCTCTCTTTTTTTTTAGAGACAATGTTTCACTATGTAGCCCAGGATGGCCTCAAACTCAGGGTGATCCTCCTGCCTGAGCCTCTGGAGTGTTGGAATTGCAGGCATATGGCACGAAGAGCAGATTAAAAAACAACAAACAAAAAACTGAAAAGCATGTGAATCTTTGAACCTGTGCAGTATTACAAATGCTGAAGTAGGACTGGGCATGTTTGTTGTCTTCAACAACAGCTTAAAGAATATCACCTTAAAGAATGGTGGGATTAAATAAAAACCTCGTGAATTAATCTATATTCAGAAATAAAGCAACTTTGTCCTATAAATCAATGGGCCTCAGAGTAAGGGACCTCAGGTTTTGAAGGTTTGTGTGTGTGTGTGTGTGTGTGTGTGTGTGTGTGTGTATGTGTATGTGTGTGTGGGTCAGATCTCAGTGTAGCGTAGCAGAAAATGTCACGATGCCTTTACATTACATGGGAACATGGCTATGGCTTCAACCTGGAATTCAAGTTATATTTTTTGTTATCTACCAAAATCAACATAAGATACAAAAGGAGAGTATATGACAGTAATGATAAACCTTTTAGAACTTTTACTGACAAAAATTGGCTTGTCATAGGTTTGCCACCATGGTTTATGGGAAGGAGTGGCTAATGACAGCACCTCAACACTAACAAAGTAAAACAACAGGTATTATATTTTTTTATGCGAAGAATTTAAGAACAATCATCTATAACACTACCTCACAGTTAACTGGTAGCATTTCGATGGTCTTTATGTTTCTTTATTCCTTTATTACAACAAAAGAATCTTCATTAGTTACTTAATATTCAACAAGTTCAGCTGAAATCTATGATTAAAGTAGTCTAATTGGAGTGATAAGAGTACCTGAGTACAGATCATCTGGAACAGAACTGATAATTAAGTAAATGTATTTCCTAAATATTCAGACCCAGGAAAAATATATTACCAAAAAAGGTTACTAATGGGACTAAAAGGATGTAAACAGTGACATAAATACAGAGTTGTTATATTTGGATGTGATGCTGTTTCTCTGGGCTCTTTCAGAACCTTGGTGGCAGCCCACATTTTCAGTTTCAATATTCCTTCCAGAGCTGGGGGTGGTAGTGCACACCTGTAATCCTAGCACTTGAGAGGCTGAGGTAGGAGGATTGTCATGAGTCTGAGGCCAGCAGGGAGCTACACAGTGAGTTCAAGGCCAGTTTGAACTACAGAGCAAGACCTTGTTTAAAAAAAAAAAATCCTTCCAATGCACCCAATACAGGCTAAAGCTAGTAAGACTCTCTAGATGTGCAGAGAAGATCTGAGCTCGTTACCATTTTAGCGACATCGTCCTTTCATTCCTCCATCCCAGCCCCCATAACATGTTCCTGCCAGCTTAAACCACCAGTGATACATGAATGACAACATTGGGCAGCTTGTATCACTGGTGGTACAAATGGATCTAATTCCTTTTATTGGCCTTTTTACTAATAAAATTAATAAAAAACCAACTGATGAGAAAGTCATGCATGTACCATTAATGGTTCAAGCTGCCCACGGTGAGACATACGAATTACAGCCTTGTTGTGAACATGTTAAAAACATACTATTGAAGGGCCGGGAATTTGGCTCAGTGTTCCACTGCCTACCTCACAAGCATAAGGGCCTGAGTTCAATCCCCAGTACCCCCCCCCAAAAAAACCATACTAATGCAGGAAAAATGGATCTGTAAGAAATGTATTCATTCATTTAGAGAAAGCTCTGTAAAATTTATTTTTTGGTAGACACCAAGCATATTCTAAAGGTAAATTGCTAATGAGATTCTTTAGGAATGGGATAAAATCTTTGCCCTCTGGAAGCCAATGACTATTTTTAAGGTAGATCCAAAGAAACTGACTATAAGATAAATGGAGAAGTGCAGACTACAACAAGCCAAGGCCACAAAGCAAGGAGGAGCTTAGAATGTAGAGAACAGAACTGGGAGGTTTGACTTTGAACAAAATCTAGTACCAGGAGGATTACTCCACTCCAAAAAAAGTAAAGAGTTAACCAGTGTAAATAGTACTCTGCTTTAGGTTTATAATAAATAATTGGACCATACCTTCTCGCTGAGCTCTATGAGGTGCCACAGTAGGTCCATCCTGAGGTATTGGGGCTTGTTCTATTAAATTGGTCTCATTACTTTGCATGTAATCACCAAGAGCAGAGTTTTTCTAAAGGAGAAAGAGGGGGACATGTTAATCTACACCACAGAGTAACAAATTTCACTAAAACAAACCAGAGTAAAGTTCTGCAGTTTTAATAATCATTTTAATAGCAGATTTTAGAGATAAAATTAGTGACTATATATTAAGAGCAGAAACGCACAAGGTGTCAGAACTACAAGTGAAAGGAGAAGTATCAAATGTTTTATTTTTATTTAACAGTACTAGTCTATCAATTATTTTCTTTATATATTGCTCTTCAGAGTTGCTAGTGGCATCAATTCTAAATCACAGTGAACTAGAATCAAAATGACATATATAATAAAAAGTACAATTTATGCTAATACTCCAGAGGTAATGGCATCTGTACTTTTTAGATTAATCATAAGACAACTTTTATTCACTGCTTGGTTTCAGTGACAGTGTAAAGAGATGTTAGGAAAAAGTTTTACAAAAAAATATCAATGCATGCCAAATCTTACTAAATAATACTATGTATGGACAGCGAGTTTACTATTCAAGTTAAATCATCTAACAGCAACTTGGTGTTCTATACATTGCCTAACTGAGTTTTCTCACCCAATCATTAGTGAACTAGAGTTTTATACCTAAGAGATCAGTTGTTTGAAGTAATAGAGCATGCAAATCTTACAACTTTCCAGAATTAAGTACCATCACGTACAATTGTTATTGTAACACACTGGTTAAGTAAAAACATAAAACAGCCTTGTATCAGTTCCCTATCACAAGTCACAGCCCATCCTCCACCCTTTCTTGCTCACACCTCAAAATACCACTTACAACAAAATCACCTGTTTCAAGAACCAATTACAGTTCTATAAACCTGCAGTAAATAATACACATTTATTTAAAAACTATTCAAAGAAATGAAGTGAATAAAAAACCTTAAACTTCCCAAAAATCTCCATTTAAGGTATTTTATTGCTGTCACAATCATGCATCCTGGTCTGATAATGAGTATGGTCTGCTATTTGACAGCTCCACTTGTGGGAATAAAGCACCATATTAGATACTCTTGGGAACTAAGCGTCAGCCTTACATTACAGTCTGTCTTTTAGAAACCCAAGGAAATAGATTGTCTACAAAGAGTCATTTAACGAAGAGTGCACAGACCTCTTTCATCAACATTCAAGTTCTAAAATGTTTAACCTAATGGCATTTATCAACTTTCAATATGACTGATCTTTAAAATGAATGAATTTTTGTATGAATTACTTTAATAGTCTTGTATGTATACCCTAATCTAGATTATATAATCTTTCATTACAAAGCAGAAAGACCAAACTTGGCTTACGATTTTGCTTCTCAAAAATTCAATACTGTAGTAAGTACTGAAAAAACCCCACACAAAAGACATACAAAACTAAGGGTAAGACTTGGTAGAATGCCTGCTTAGCACATGTAAAGCCCTGGGGAGGGAAGGAAGGGAGAGCAGGAAGAAGGAAAGAGTGAAAGGAAAAGAAAAGAAGTCAATTCTTCTCAAATAGTTGTGTTAACTAGGAACTTACTTAATAGATTAAGCATTTCAAGCAAAGAGTATGTTTCTGCATTACTGATATGATTTGTAAATTTAAAGGAACATATTTTCAGATATAAATAAATGAAAAAGAATAGTTTTCATTAGAGAAATGCAAATCAAAAGTTCATGAGTATTACTTCACCAACATCACAACGATTATCTAAAACCAAAAACAAAGAGAAACAAGATGTGGAGACACAAATCCTTGGAACCCTGATGCACTGATAGTGTGAATATGAAAATGGTGCAACCACTGCATAAGACAATATGACAGTTCCCCATAAAAAATTAAACATAGAACTACTGCAATTCTGACTCTAGTCAGAATATATACTCAAAGTGCAACTAAGGACTCGAAAAAGTAATGAACACTATTGTTCATAGCAGTGTTATTTACAATAGTCACAAAGTGGAAATAAATGTCTACTGTTAGATAAAAATAAAATACAATATATACATAAAGTGTGTATTAGCCTTAAAAAGGATACATACTATAACACAGATGAATCTTCAGCACAGTAGGCTAAGCAAAATGAGTCAGACACAAAAGGGAAAATATTCTATGACTTCACTTATATAAGTTACTTAGTGTTATGGCTTGTATCTAGATATTGCCCCAAAACCTAATGTTATCAAAGCTGGTTGCTGCATGGAAAGTGTGTGATGCTAGAACTGATTCATGGTACAATGTAAGAATTAAGGGTGCCTCATCCTGAGTGTGAATGCCACCGGCCCTAAAGATGGGTAGCCTGGACAAGATATAAGGGACAGAAAGAGCGTCTCTGCTTATCACTTGCTGCCTTCTGTGTTCCATGAACTGTTTCTCCTCTGCCACACCACCCTGCCTGGGAGCCAATCATGAACTGAAACTTACAAACTGTGAGCCAAATAAACCTTTCCTCCTTTAACTTTGGGTGTCAGGTATTTTGTCTCAGCAACAAAAAACTAAGACACCTAGTTATATTCATAAAGAAAACAGAATACAGTGGACCCTTCAGTTAGGACTGGCTTTACACATGAACAACTTGGGTTACACTGGAATTTTAGTTTTAACTTATGACCAATGTCTTGAATTACAACCCAAGTGACAGTCTTTCCTGTGTGGGATTAAATGATAAATCCTGGGCCAATGCTCTCTAAGGACGCTGAAATATGGCTGGAAGAAAGCATGGCCTAAAATTATGCAGGAGAGAAAACTTTGAAGGCTGTGTAGAGGAGTCTGAGACTTCAACTGACCCTGTGGTTGATGACACTGTCACTATAGCAGAGTCTATAGGCTCACAGATGGCCAGTGGTGATGCCGAAAAACTGGTGGGGGAACACTCAGTGGAACTGTCTACTGAGGAACTTTAGCAACTTCTGGTTGAGCAACAGAGAATGGCAATTGAGGAGGCTTCTGAAGAGGAGGGGGAGTATCAATAATTAGTGCAGCAAAGTTCTTCTGAAATAAAGGAAATCCTAAAAAAAAAAAAAAGGATAGAGCTATAAACATATGTAGAGAAGATCCACCCAACAGAGAAAAAACTGTTGCATTCACTTGCTTAATGACAATGTCATGTCACACTACAGAACAGTGCTAAAGAGAAGATAGAAAGAGACAAACTTAGACCAGTTTTTAGTTTTGAAAAGGCTGAGACCTAGTGAGCCAGAAGCAGGTCCTAGTGGGCTACAGACTCTCCCAAGGACAGGATGGATACTAGAGAGCCAGATTCCTGATGTTCTTAGGAAGGGGGGTATTCTTCCAAACAATAACCACCTTCCATTTCATCCTCCCTTCCTGGAAGCCAAAGATGTTAATTTGAATGGTGAGTACAGTGTGAAATTGTTGATTCTGGCAAAGCAGCCACATTTTACAACTTTTTGGTGATCACATTAAGAAAATGATTGGTGTTTCTAGTAAATCATGCATGTTATACAACCCTTTTTTATTATGAAAAGGTTAAGGGGTGCTTTGGAGGGTTCGGAATGCATTATGAATTATTTCCATTATTTATTGGAAAAAGAGACCTGACTTACGACCAACTTGAGCTATAACCAGCCCTTGCAAACGAATTGAGTTCATTAGTCAAGGGTCCACTGTAATGATTATCATGGGTTCAAGGAGATGGGAATAAGGAGTTATTTAATGTTTTACAGAGTTACAGTATGGGATAGAAAAGTTGTAGAGATGAATGGTGGTGATGGTTGCACAACGAGATGAACGTACTCAATGCTACTGAACTGTACATCCCAAAAGAGGTAATAGCAAATTTTGTTGTGTATGTTTTAGCATAATAAAAAATGCTCATACTGCCCATACAAGCATTACTATACTAAAGCAATCATTCTTCAAAAAGTTTGCTTTGCAATCAAAAATCACATTTTCAAGATCTAAGTCAACTTTAAGAACACAATTTTTTTTTGGGGGGGGCAGGGATTGAACTTAGGACCTTGTGCTTTTGAGGCAGGTGAGGCACCACTGAACTAAATCCCCAGCCCAAGAACACAATTTAACAACCAAGAAAAAACTTTGTTTAATAAGCTGAGAAAATTGGACTTTGGGTTTCTATCCAAGGACCTAAGCTCATAACTGTTTTTGTCCCAGGGAGTCTCAGCATGTACCAACGCTATGAAACTATTCAAACAAGCTAGGCACAGTGTCACATGTCTGTAATCCCAAAACTATGGGAACCTGAGGCAGGAGGACCATAAACTAGCCTAACTAGAGCAATTTAGCAATATCCTGTCAAAGTAAAGACAAAGGGTGGGGGCTAGGATATAGCTCAATACAAAGGCCCTGGGTCCAATCTCCCATTCTATGAAAAAAAATTCAAAGCTTAGAAGCTACTCATAAAACCCACACACAAGGTCTGGGGATTTAGCTCAGTGGTACTGCTGCCTGCCTCAAAAGCAGAAGGTCCTGAGTTCGATCCCTGGTAACAACAAAACAAACAAACAAACAAAAACACAAACACAACCTACAGAAATCAGAATTGTGGTATTTACTATCCCCAGCAGTGGGGCTGTCAGTAATGAGGTCTTTCCCTTCACATGTGACATAAGCTTTCTTTTCTTTCAGTAGTAGAAGGGTACTATAAAACCCGAGAACTACTGGTTTAATCCAATTGTATAGAGAGGTATTATTACACACATTTTCTCTATTAAGATTCCCATTTGTAGAATAAACCAGGGATTTAATAAAGATGTGGTAGAAGTTTGTCTAATCTCTTCTCAGTGAAATAGCACAACTCAGCCTTAATGCCTCAACTCTAATGCCTTGGCAAGTGGTAAAAGGCAAGTTCTGGAAAGAGGAAAATGATGCCTAGTAACGTAATAAAATTGTGGCAGAAGAATAAAATCAATGAAGCAGTTCAGAGAAGAGGGAAACCGATGAATTAACGTCTTAGAAATGGCATGACATGGATTTCCACTATGATCATGGACTCCCTATGTATTTGTCTGGTTTAACCAGAAATGTGAATAAAAGGTTTAGATCAAGCAAGAAGAGAGTGGCAAGACTAGCTATCTTAAAACTTAGGCAAATGTACTCCAGCTACAGAATGGCTGGTAGGGGATAATTTACTAAGTCTGCATATACTCTGCCATCACAGCACACAGATGAGACACGGCTACTGCAATAACATGACATCTGTGAACAAACAAGAGTTGCCTATGCAGAACTGGATGAATGGAACAAGATGGGGTTATCATTATCACTATGTATTTTCTGGGAACTCTGTGTGTTTATTACTAATTAAAAATGAAAAATTTTTGTTATCTTTATTGGAGAATTGAACTTGTAGGTTGCACAATTAAGAAGTCTATGTGAAAGAAAGGAAATGGAGAATGAAAGAGAAGTGTAGGCAGCAATTTTCATCCAAGAATTGCCCTTGATGTTTTTCCTGTAAAACTCTTCATGCTTCTGCTACTTCAACCTAAACAGCACCATCTGTTAGTTGACAGGGGGACTGGGAAAGATACAGCCTACTACACTGGGCCACACAACAGCAAAAGTACTGTACTCACAAAGGTAGTGCCAAAGGCTTTCTACCATAGACTAATTCTCCTTTAGCACCAGCATCTGTGTTTTCTCTCCTCTTTGCTCTTGGTACAGAAAGGGAAAACTTTCTTTCGCCCAAGAGCTCTTTTTTCACAATGAGGAAAGCAAACTCAGGACTTTCTAAATCCCTGGGTGAGCAATCTTACACTAAGCTGTTTTTGAGTGAAGAGACAATGACAACAACGACGATGACAACAACAAAAAAACCACCCACACCCACAAGCATAAACACCTAGAGAAGTGTGCATCTCCTCTCCAGCCCACATGTGCTTTCTAACTGCCTTCACCTTCACAATTTCCCCGTGTGAGATGAGAGCAATGAAGCCAAGGGGTCCTTAATAAGAAGCAAGCTGAACATACCAGGCAATGCCAAGCCTTTTAGCTCCTTCAGCCAAGTCATAGTCTTCACCTTCACTGCAAAAACGTTCTTAGAACATGTAGAAATTTAAGCGCACAGAGTTTAATGGTACCACTGAGAGAATATATGAGTCCGGGAGATTTTTAAACAATCAATGACCTGCTCTTTTTCCACTAATCAACAACCTGCTCTTTTTCCAGTAAGTTTAAAGTGACAGTGCACCTACAGAGAATATACACCATAACCACGCACACACAAAATGTTTTCACTGGCTCCCACGCCACTTGTGGACAACCTATCCCCTTAATCTGACTTTCAAGGCTCTCTGTAGCCCCACCTTCATTACCTCTTCATATGTCTCTATTCCTATTCTTTTATCACAACCAAATTGTACTAATCACTCTGAATAATACATGTTTCTCACTCATGTTTACCTAGAATTTTCAAGTACTTTATCGGATACCTATTCACAACAGTTATATTAACTAGACGAGGAAGATAGTTATACTAGGCAGTTAATCTTGGAAAGTGATCTTTTCAAAATCTAAAACCGATCTTAAATGAACTACTTCTTGAAAGAACATCAAACACTTTTAATGAACTAAGATGTGTAGGAGAGAATTAAAGGTCAAATATTCCCTGAAGCATAGTAACAGAAGGAAATGGAGTAACTACCACGGGCCCCGCGCTCAACCACCTGTAATATAAACATCCAACAAGGCAGTTCCCTTCTACATCAACTGTTTACTTAGATAGGAACCAAAAAATGTTACTGGATGAAGGTGGCTTTTGTGACAAAGAATTCTTTGTAAGTAAAAGCAGTACTGTTACACGAATGCCCCACAATGAAATATCAAAGCCCGGCAAGCCCGTTCCTTTTTTTTTCTAAAAAGAGAAAAGAAAGAGAGAAAAGGAGGAACAAAAAAACACCAAATAGCATTTCTCAAGGAAAGGCAGTATTAAATTAGCTAAAAAATTAGCCAACTTAATAACTGCTATATTGAAAAATATAAACTGTTCCTTAAATATGAATTCCAGTCTGTGTTCTAAATGAAAGAATTACATAACTTAAAACTGCAAAATAGATTTATGTTATAGAATATTTTTCTGGTTAAAGTGAAAACTGGATAAAGAAGTAGATTACAGTTACAAGAGAATTAATGATAATTCAAACAAATGTACTTTTGCCATACTATCTTCAAATACACAAAATAGGGATATACATTTATAATCCAGAGAATTACTTCCTTTTGTTTTTGTTTTTGTTTTTTTTCACTTGAGGCAAGGCTTTATTGAGACAAAGAGTAGTAGGGCTACCCTGAACAATGTTGAGAGAGGTCCTTTTAGTTTTAATGGACTTTTTTTTTTTTGAGACAAGGATCTCAATATATAGTCCAGGTTGGCCTTGAACTCAAAGCAATCCTCCTGCCTCCTCTACCTCTCAGTGCTGGGATTACAGGTGTGCGCCACCACAACGGGCTTAACAAATCTTTTTTTTTCTTAAATGTAACTACTAAGAATATTAACTACTCCAAATAAATGCACCTCAAATATTAGGTTTTTCAATTACCTGCCCTTCCTGAACATCAATGTACCTCAGTTATGGCAATTAAGAGCATCATATAAAATACTCCATCATGTGGACTTTCACTAAGCAGAAACACACTAAGCAGAAACAAATGGACAAAACATCCCCAAATTCTACATCCCTGTAAAGAAGAGACTGTGTCTCACTGAAAAATTAAACTTTACTGAGCACTATTCTGAACTAAGAAAAGAAGTTCAAGATAAGTGTGAATTACAGTACTTTGCAACCTTATTAATTTGATTACCAGGACCTCAAAGGAAGTTACCATCTCTACTTTATATATAATAATGAAGGTCAGAGATTTAAGTGGTCTAGTTACATATTACAGAGCTAGCAGCAGGGCTGAAATTTAAACCTCCAAGAAGTGTTCCACTAAACATGACCATCACTCTTCAGGGCCTCTTCACAACCTTTCCCCGTCCCTTCTCACAAAGCCAAAAGTGGTGAGGAAAAAGGCATATACGCATACACCATACAAACATATCTTAGTTACTTGAGGAAACGAACTTGCTTACCCCACCCCATGGGTCCATGGCATGAGATCTTTCCTTGGAGTACTCCTTACCTACAGTATAGGAAATTTCTAATGTTTAATGAAAACTATATGACAAATACTATTCTAACAGTACTCATTCACTATATCCTAGCAATTCAAATACTTACAAGGTCTGTTAACATACCCAATTTTAAGTGAGGAAAACCTCAGGCAGGGCCCATTGCTCCAACATCACCATTCACTTCATTAGATAGTCTAGCAATGGCCAACAAATTAAAGGTATTTGTTAAAGGTATTTGTTACCGTGACTATTAGAACTATTTTTTTAAAGATGCTTTTAAAAGGCATCTTTTTAGTGCTCAAAGACAAAATCTAGACAACCTACTTTTCCCTCTTATTCTAAGAAAGTGTTATTGGATTCTAGTTGGCATATATATATTCAAGTTTTCTTGAAGTATCTGAATTTTTTTTTCAAGCCCAGCACCACTAATATACTCTCTGCATGGCAAACATGAGTGGAAATATTTGGTACAACAGTACAACAGAGCTAATTTACCTACACTATGATAAAGTTAATGACTCTGCAAGCTTTTACCTTTTACTAACTTTACTAATTTTAATAAGGATCGTGGTTGCTTCTATGAGTTCAAATGATATTGAGTTCAAATATGGTTCAGAAAAATAAATTTAAGACTTTGGATTCTCTAAAAAACAACAAAAAAAATATGGTTCGGGAGTTCAAATGACCCTAAGACACAGAACTGTGTATCTTTGCACTAATGGTTTACATTTTTATCTTTTATTCAGAACAGTATTATCTGCCAAGTCAACTAACTAAGCCTTCCAGGATCCTTAAAACACAATCATCAGAGAAGGGTCAAACCAACATTATTGGCCACTAACTATACAGTACTGTACTGTAATTGTCTATCCATTTTGTTTCTTACCCCTCTGCACAGTATTATTGGATGGGGGATAAACCTTCAAATAAGAATACCCCTGTTCATGAATAGTTAAGAGTGGCTTTAAACATGTAAACATAGACTATCTTGGTTTCTTTTCATTGGATAGTAGAGTAGCTGCAACAAAAACTCTCTTAAAATACTTGCACAGCTTTTTTGTTCCTAACACATAATTTATAGTTTAGCTTCCTAATAGGAAGAGATCTATTTTTAAAAACAGGGGCTTAGAGCTATGCTATACAAGCCATCTGTAACTCTAATGCAGAATTACATCAATCATACACACTTCTAATAAGGGTTTTCAGTACTGTTTATTAACCTATTTGTTGAATTTTATGCAAGTTAGTGGAAGTCCATTTGGGGTTAAGAAAATGAGATTTATGTACAAGTCATAAAATGAACGTCAGCACTTAAATTGTAATCAATGTAACATTTCATATAAAATTATTCAAATCACATTTTTAAAAAACTTCTGGAAATGTCACTTTCAAGAGCAAAAACAAATGTGCTGAATTTTCTTGCTTTTCTACTGAACCTACTAAGTACGTTCTAGGTATTGGTGGAACGTGATCACTTCAACTAGTAACATTTTAACCACAGCATGACATCTTGTGCTTCACTTAGTCAACTTCAAAACATTTAACGAATATAAAAGTGGCAACAAACCGCATGTTCTACCTGCAAATTAAAAATTCATTTCCAAGAAGAGCTGCTTCGTAGGTACTGGATACATCTTAAGAGTTAGCAACACTAGTCTGGGCCAATACACTTACATAGGAAATTATTACTACACCTTTAGTATAGGTGAAAATACTCGGTTTGGAGCACAGAGAATCTTCATTTACACAGAAAAAAAAAATGATTCCTAAGCAATTACAAATGGCATACTTGTGGCCACAAGGTTACTTCCGGGTCAGTAAAATGTTGCCACAGGAATTTCCCCTTTCCCAGGGTTATCGCCATGGCCAGGCCTCTGTGATCCGCGTGGTTCTCAGGCGGCTCTCAACTGCAGCCTCAGCCCAGGGGGGCGCCCCAGGCCCGGGTCGCCCGGCTCCGGGTCGCCCTCCCGGGGGCAGC